CCTGTGTGTGCCCACCAGCAACAACCTCCTGGTAGACTGCAAATCTGCACCTGCTCCCGAGACCACATGGCCCCAGAAGAAATGCTGAGTGCACCACCTGCCTGGGGTCACACCACACTGCACGGAGCCTGGGTTCTATTATGGACCCAATGACCAAGCCCACAGCCATCATGTACTACAAAGTCAGTAGCCCTCAGGCCATAACTGCAGGCAGTCAACTGCTAAGGGACCAGTGTTATGGTATACCTACATCCCATATGGATACAGCTCATGACCAGATGCTCCACTTCCCATCCAGCTCCCTGTTTGTGGACAGCAGTGGAGGACGGCCCAAAGTCTTGGGATCATGAACCCACATGGGAGACCCAGTTGAAATTTCTGTGCTCTGTGGTGTAGACACTGTACTACCCTCCCCTGGGTATGCTGTCCTGCAGTGTGGACACTGTGCCTTCCCCTGGGCATGCTGTCCTATAGTGTGGACACTGTGCCTTCCCTGGGCGTGCTGCTCTGCAGTGTGGACACTGCGCCTTCCCCTGGGCGTGCCGTCCTGTGGTGTGGACACTGTGCCTTCCCCGGGCGTGCTGCTCTGTAGTGTGGATTGTGTGGCCATGCACACCTGTTCACAGCTAGCATAAACCAAGTGCAGCCGGCCCTCCTGTCCTGCCAACAGCAGCGATGGCTGAGCCAGACTTGGGCAGACTCATGCCTGCCGATCACCCCCAAGCTCTCCTGTAACTTTGGATTGCAGCTTGCTGTCCTCAATAGAAAACACGATGCTAAAATTCATATAGAGCCACAGAGCCAGGGCAGTCTTGGCAAAGAAACTGGCAGGCATCACAAATGCTTATTTCAAAATGTTTCAAATCCACAAATTCACAAAAATATTATGAGAAAATCACACAGGTTTTTTTTAAAGATTTATTTATTGTTATTACAAAATCAGATACACAGAGAGGAGGAGAGACAGAGAGGAAGATCTTCCATCCATCCAACAATCCACTCCACAAGTGGCCACAATGGCCGGTGCTTCACCGAAAGCCGGGAACCAGGAACTTCTTCCAGGTCTCCCACAGGGGTGCAGGGTCCCACGGCCTTGGGCCATCCTCGACTGCTTTCCCAGGCCACAAGCAGGGAGCTGGATGGGAAGTGGAGCTGCAGGAATTAGAACCGGCGCCCATATGGGATCCCGGTGTGTTCAAGGCGAGGACTTTAGCCACTAGGCCATGCTGCCCGGCCCAACTACACAGATTTTAAAAATTCTGCACCAGGCCTGGCACAGTAGCCTAGCGGCTAAATCCTCACTGTGCATGCACTGGGATCCCACATGAGTGCTGGTTCATGTCCTGGCACCCTCATTTCCCATCCAGCTCCCTGCTTGTGATCTGGGAAAGCAGTCGAGGATGGCCCAAAGCCTTGGGACCCTGAGTCCGCATGGGAGACCTGGAAGAAGTTTCTGGCTCCTGGCTTCGGATCAGCACAGCTCTGGCCGTTGCGGTCACTTGGGGAGTGAATCATTGGAGAGATCTTCCTCTCTGTCTCTCCTCCTCTCTCTATATATATCTGACTTTCCAATAAAGAATAAATAAATAAATCTTTAAAAAACAACAAGAACAAAAAAGAAGGTTCCCTTGGAGGCATGACAGACACCAGTTTGAAAGGAACCTCAGTGAGGACAACATGGACTCTGCTGCACTGCAGAGCACACACTCTGTGCTGGGGTCTGGCAGGAAAGTCTATGCGAACAACACCCTGAAGCAAACAGCAGTTTACAAAAGGGAAACTGGTTTCACAAAGGGAGGCAGAGGATGCTGAAGGTGCAGTCCACATCAACCATCTTACAAAGCCCTGACTGTGTCAACGCTGCTCAGCCACACAGACCACGGCTGCCCCCACACAGATGGAATAGCTGGCTCAGCCAGCACACAGCCACCGAAGAGTTAAAGTGCAGCAAGCTTTCAAGTCAAGAGTCACAGGTAAATGAAGAGACTGACACACAGACTTCTGCACCCGCTGGCTCACTTCCCAGGTGACCTCCACAGCCAGTGCTGGGCCAAGCCAAACCCAGGAGCTCCATCCGAGTCTGCTACGTGGGTGCAGGGCCCAAGCACTTGGGCCACCCTCTGCTGATCCCAGGCCAATAGCAGACAGCTGGATGGGGAGTGGAGGAGCCAGGATATATGTGGGATGCCAGGGTCGCAGGCGGCAGCTTTACCTACTGTACCACAATGCCAGCCCCTGGAACACTTTCTGATTGATGGGTGTGAACTTTGCACAGAGAAGCTACATACAGGAGCCAGATTTCAAAGGAAACTGGAAGCAAATGGAACCCAGACCCTGAAGCAGTTCATTAAATACTCCATCAGGAGATAAACCCAGCTTTTCCTGAGCAACCTGGGAACAGAGCACCCCTAGCCAAGGAATGTTTTTACCAAAAGGCAGGAACAAAGCCATCTGTTCACCAGGGCAGTGATGCCAAAATTCGACAGGTTCCTTGGGCCCCTCCATCACAGCATTCTGACCAGTCTCTCGGCACTCTGGAGGGACCCAGTGATCCCCACTGCTTTTTTTTCTTTTTTAAAGATTTATTTATTTTTATTGCAAAGTCAGATATACAGAGAGAAGAGACAGAGGGGAAGATCTTCCGTCCAATGATTCACTCCCCAAGTAACCACAATGGCTGGTGCTGTGCCAGTCCGAAGCCAGGAACCAGGAACTTCCTCCAGGTCTCCCATGCAGGTGCAGGGTCCCAAAACTCTGGACTGTCCTCGACTGCTTTCCCAGACCACAAGCAGGGAGCTGGATGAGAAGTGGAGCAGCTGAGACACAAACTGGCACCCATATGGGATTCTGACGTATACAGTGAAGATTTAGCCACTCAGCCATCAGGCTAGGCTGATGCCATTCTGTTTTTGTTTTCATTTTTAACTAGCCAGTCCAACAACTGCAGGCACGTGAGGGATGAGCTGCCAGAAACAAGAATCCTGACTCTCTCTCAAACATATAACTTTCAAAAAATACATTAATTGCACCAGCATGGTAGTCTAGTGGCTAATTTTTCACCTTGCATGCACCAGGATCCCACATGGGCGCCGGTTCTAATCCTGGCAGCTCCACTTCCCATCCAGCTCCCTGCTTGTGGCCTGCGAAAGCAATACGGCCCAAAGCCTTGGGACCCTGCACCCGCCTGGGAGACCTGGAGGAGATTCCTGGCTCCTGACTTTGGATCGGCTCAGCTACAGCCGTTGAGACTGCTTGGGGAGTGAATCATCAAACGAAAGATCTTCTCTGTCTCTCCTCTGCTTACCCTATTTTGCAATAAAAACAAATAAATACTTAATAAATAAATAAATAAATGCATTGTGAGGAATTAAATTCCTTCATAATTCCATTTAAGAAAAAGATGTATTCTTCATGGGGCCAGTAGCGTGGCATAGAGAGTTGAGGCACCACCTGTGACGCTGACATCTCACAGGAGCCACTTCTAATCCATCTTCCTGACAGTGGCATGGGGAAAGCAGCAGACCACGACCCAAGGAAACAGACACCTGCAACCCACATCAGGGCACCCTGGCTTCAATCCTGGTTCCCCTAAACAGAAGACAGAGGGAAACAGAGAAGGGAGGGAAAGAAAGAGATCTTCCATTGCAGAGGCACTGGGCAAAGGGCCTCAGCAGCCAGGGCTGGGCTGAGCTGAAGCCAGGAGCCAGGACTCCCACAGGGGGGCAGGGCCCAAGTCCTTGAGCCATCTGCCCCCATCTCCCAGGTGCATTAGCACGGGGCTAGATGGAAAGCAGAACCTGAACTGGCTTAACCTGTTACACCACAATGCAGGCAGGCCTACTAAAACACCCAAACTTGCTGCATTTTTTAGCAAGTAGCCAACTGCTCTGCTGCGGTGAGCTTGAAGGGATCTCCGAGTGCATGGCGACAGCACAGGACAGTCTCCACAAGCGAACACATCCTCAGACTCTTGATGAAATCACCAGGGGACACATACACACACACACGCCAAACTTTGCAAGTTCTGGAAGCCAACGACTCCAGTGGAATACATGTGAGCGGTAACCAAATAACTTCCAATAAACAGAGAGATTATGGAGAATAAAAGGACACCAGTTCCAAAACTGTAACACACAGCAGACAGCCAGGACATCCATGGGTGACCACAGTAGATAGCCAGAAAACCCTGCACTTCATGAAAACGCCCCTGCCAGCCATTCCAGCACACTTAGCTGGCAGGAAGAGTTATCTGGTCCTGGGACCCCATGCACAGTGACAGTAAGTTGTCAGAGTGCTCCAATGAGGGCCCAGCACGACACACAATGGCTAAATCCTCATCTTAAATGCACCGGGATCCCATATGAGTGCAAATTTGTGTCCTGGTTGCTCCACTTCCCATCCAGCTCCCTGCTTGTGGCCTGGGAAAGCAGTTGAGGATGAAGACTGCCCAAGGACTTGGACCCTGCACCCACCTGGAGACCCCAGAGAGGCTCCTGGCTGCTGGCCTTGGATCAGCTCAGCTCTGGCCGGTGTAGCCATTTAGTGAACCAGCAGACGGAAGATCTTTTTCTTTGTCTCTCCTTCTCTCCGTAAATCTGTCTTTCTAACAAAAATAAATAAATCTTCAAAGTGCTCCAACAACCTGCCACCCACCAAGGTCTCCTGCATCGTTTCTCAGCTTCTAGAAGGATCCTGGAAGGGAACTGCACGTCAGTACGTCCGCTCCTCTTCCTAAACATGAAGTTTCCACTCCAGCAGATGACTCCATGCCCTGGACACACAGGTGCACAGGCCTGGTGGGTTCGACCACACCTGTCCGAAGGACCCCCAAGATCCCAGTGTTCCTAATGACTTCCACAGCCCCAATTCTCAGCCAACATTAGACACCTTAAGAAGCTCCACTTGGACACGGGGAAGCATCACACATCACCAACACCTATGCCTCGCTCCTTCTCCAGGTGCCCGAGGGAGACCCAGGCAGTCACCTTGTGCTGACTCACCTGAACTCGCGGCCTTCGCTGTAGCGCCGACCGGAGGCAGCCCGGGGGGCCGCTGTCTCCAGCAGCAGCTTCTGGGTGAGCCTGCTGGCAGGAGCGGGGTCCCCAGCCTCCGCCTCAGTGCCGTGCTCACACTGCCACTCCTCGTCTTCATTCAGGGTGGGCAGGTACCCAGAGACGCCCTTGCCTGCCCCTGACCCCGAGCTCTGCTCACTGCAAGCCTTCGGGCTCTCCGAGCCTGTCCGCGTGTACTCCAGGTAGATGTCAGACTTGAGGAACGAAGGATAGGTGTTCTCCTCCATGGTGGACTGGATTTCGGTCTGGGCTTGATCAAACGTGGCAGGGTCGATCTGCTGCTTCATGATGCAGTCTTTTATGAAGCTCTTGGTGGCCGGCTTAGTTTGCCGGGACACGACACCACTGGTGTCCAGGATGTACCTGCGGTAGATGGCCCTGGCTAGCTTCAGCCTCTTCTCTTCGTTTGCATCACAGGGCTCCAGTTTCCTGAAGCCGCTGCAGGCGAACCAGAAGTCCAGCAGGTCGGCACAGCCCTCACGCCTAAGGAAAGTCCGGAACAGGCTGATCCCATCCTGGTCATCGAGCAGCGAGTGCAGGGACTCAGCCCACTTCAGGTATGGTGGGGTGGGGGATGCGCTGCCCTCGGGCTCATACCCCAAGTCCAGGTCCGAGCGCCTTGGGGTGGCCGTCGAGGTCTCCCCTCTAACACCAGCACCTTTCCCGGAGCAGAAGCCGTGGCTGCCAGGCCTTGGGTCTGTGGACACCAGCTCTCCCTCCTCACCAGGCACCGGAGGCCGGGGGGCGTCTTCGGTAAAGCTTGTGCCGAGGTCCAAGGGGAAGCCCTGTTCCTGGACACTCATTTTGAGACTCTGTGCGGCAAGGGACAGGGAGCGATGCACCCTAACACATCAGTACTTACAGCTCCGTGTGTCAGGTTGTCCTGTTGAAACCATCAAGAGGACAAGGGTTAGGACCGGGGGCTCCAGGCACCCGCCTGCCTGCCCACCCACTCGCCCGCTCAGGGCCACAGCCTGGATGTGCCTTGAAACAGTCAGTCTCTACATGAGATTTGCTCCACATGCCAACAACCCCTATAAAAGGCACAACTGCAGGGGTCTCACAGTGAGGGGTCCCCAAGACACAGGGGGAGCCACTCCCTGTGCCTATCACTCTGCAGCCAGCCAAGGACGGGGTCCAGGGGCAGGAAGCTTGCAGTTCCAGCCCTATCAGCGTGGGTGACTCATGAAAACCCTCAGGCAGGGAGGTCTCCTCCAGGTCCCCCGTCCCCATGCCACAATTTTCTGTCAGTTTTCTGTCAAGTGGGAGACCTTGCCACACGTACAACTGACCACCTGAGCAGCCTTCAGTAGCACCCACACACAGAGGCCATCGGCAGCTTGCCACAGGCAACCCTACAAGGTTACTCAGCTCTGCACACGGCCAACTGGCAGCAGAAGTTCGTCCCAGAGATAGCAGGAGGCAGACAAATGCCCACCCGAGGGGGACCAAGGGAGACGCAGCCAGAGACCACCCTGGCCACCTCCAGGATGCGCGTGGCAGGCCACTGGCAGCAACAGCCAGAGTAGCAAGCAGGTCAGACGCCTGCTCAGAAAGCACCCTCTGAAGATCAGAAAAGGTTTTGCAAACAATAAAATTAACATATAAATATATCTTTCTGCTAAGGAATCATGTGACACACGGCAACTGACCAAACCACAAGCCCTCATGGAAGAGAAGACCTTCAGGTGCTGGGTGCTATGCACCAAGGCTGTCCTGAACAAGGACTCCACCAGCCCAGAGACCACGTGCTTGGCAACACCTCACACACAGCAACCCAGCCCAGCCTGGCCCAGCCTGACCAGTGCTGTAGGGCAGCCTTCACCAAGCTCATCAACAGCAAACACCTCGGTCCTCAACAACCCAGAGCACCAGCACACCACGCTGTGGCTCATCTCTGTCCCTCCACTCCTACACTGCACACACTGTGGGGCCATCCTGCCCCCTACAGCCTTACACTGCAGGGATATCCCTGGTCCCTATACCCCCACACTGCACACACTGCACAGCCATCCCTGGCCCCTCCACCCCTCACACTGCGGGGCCATCCCTGGCCCCTCCACCCCTACACTGCAGGGCCATCCCTGATCCCTACACCCTCACACTGCGGGGCCATCCCTGCCCCCTACATCCCCACATGGAACACACACGCAGCGGCTGACAGAGGTGCCTCAGTGACATTTCCGCAACTAATGACTTCCAGAAACCCACTGGGGGGCTCTCCTTAGTCACAGCAGGTACAGCCGGTCTGAAGGTCAGGCCCCAGGGGCTGTGGCACCCTACTGCTCAAGGGCACATCAAAAGCAGCCAGATCCTTATGCCCCATCTACACAGGGCGCCGGCAGCCCCATTCCGCTCCTTGCCATCTGATGCCCTCCCATCCAGGTTGGAACCAGAGAAGAGCAGGCCTCTACCTGATCCTTAAAGATCATGTAGCGCTCTAGCCTTAAGAAGCACCTGAGCTACTGGACACGGGTAGTGTCCAAGCAGGAGGCACTTATTGTCGCTTTCTAGTACATCAATGTTGCAGCAGGACCTCTGCTTAGCACACATCTGGCAATAAATATTTAATTCACCAATGGGAATCCAAGTGTTTGCACACAGGAAAAGCAGTAAGTTCAAGCAGCAGCCCCTTGATCATCAACTGAGGCTCTTTCAAACGGAGCACCGTAATTCAGGGGTAGCCCTGCCCATGCCAGTCCCTGGGAGCTGCTTTGCAGAGGTCAATAGGAAATTCACATCTACATTTAGCCATCAACAGAGATAAGACCCTGGGTGTCCTGAAACCACATGAACCCCTGGAAACACCTGGGCCACACAGGGAACCACACACATTCCACATACACGAAGCAGTTACATTAATTCCAAGTTTGAGACAGATGCCCACAAGGACCAAATCCAGCCCACAGCCTGGAACCACCGTCAATAAAGCAACTCCATAAAAGCCATCTCCAAGGCTGACATTGTATTTAAAATCCCCTCTCATCACCACCAGGAACATAGCCTGGGAATATGGCAGCCAGCTCAACGCTCACACTTGGGAGCCTTCCCCATAAATGAAACGTGGGGGGAGCGGCACACCACTGACACTTTCCACTCTCAATGCCTGAGGGGGCACGCTGCTGCTTCACACCAGCCTACACCCGTCACCCACGTTTCCCCAGCCTCCCAGAAATCCAAGACAACACCCTCTGGCAGAAACACGGCAATACTCGTGTGCTTTCCCATCCTGGTCTGTGAACGGGCATTCTTAGAACTGCAAGCGAGCCTGGCTATGCTGGGGGATGTGGCTGAGAACGCAGACTCCCCATCCAGGGCCTGCGGTCCAGGGGCCTGGGACGTGTCCTGAGGAAGCGGAGATGGCTGCACAGCAGGCAGACACAGCTGCAGCCCTTCACAGGGACTAGGGCTCAGGAGGGTTGCAAACCTGAGCTCTCAGAGGGCGACAGAGCCTGAAACCGCACCCAGGACAGGACGCACGCCCTGGACTTCAGGACAGCCACCAGGCACCCCTCCTCGGGCTTCAGACTCACTCATTCCCATCTTTCCCACAGGATCCCTGCACATACTGTCTGGATGCAGCCACTCCCGTGCAGCCCACCCACACCTAGAAAGCCCCCACAGACCCACAGGTCACGTCCCACAGGAAGCGAGCACGTGCGCAGCAGCAACCCTGGGCTCCCTGCCTTCCACTCCTGCCCACACCCACGCCTGGGGCACCTGCCTTGGCCGGCCTCCGCAGCAGCCCTCCCTGGCAGGCCGAGCTCCCACCTGCATACCTGCCCAAGGCCTCAGGCAAGGGCCTCCCCTCACACCCCGAAATACACTCTTCTAGGGCTGGGCCTGCACACAGCCCGCACACCCTGGGAACCTGCCCACTTCCCTGCCTCCCGTGCTCACACCCAGGCACGCCCTCTGCCCTCTCCTCCCAGCCTAAGCCCTAGGACCCCTTCACCCCCTCCCCTCACCTCTGGGACCCCTTTGCCTTCTCGACTCATCTTTGGGCACCCCCACAATTCTCTCCTCACCACTGGGACCAGCGTTCCCTCCCCACACACCCGGGGACCCCGCGTTCCCCCCTCATACCTCACGCGCCGGGACCCCACATTCTCCCCTCACACCCACACCCGGGACCCCACATTCTCCCGTCACCCACACCCTGGGACCCCGCGTTCCCTCCTCACACCCCGGGACCCCGCGTTCCCTCCTCACACCCCGGGACCCCGCGTTCCCTCCTCACACCCACACCCCGGGACCCCGCGTTCCCTCCTCACACCCCGGGACCCCGCGTTCCCTCCTCACACCCCGGGACCCCGCGTTCCCTCCTCACACCCCGGGACCCCGCGTTCCCTCCTCACGCCCACACTCCGGGACCCCGCGTTCTCTCCTCACACTCCGGGACCCCGCGTTCTCTCCTCACACTCCGGTACCCCGCGTTCCCTCCTCACACCCACACCCCGGGACCCCGCGTTCTCTCCTCACACCCTTGCCCCTGCGTCCTTCTTCCGGGTCCCACGTCCGGGCCACCCGGCCGGCCTGGCGCGGCCTACAATGGACGGCTGCGGGGTGCAGGCCCGCTCCCTCGGCGCCGCCGCCAGTCCTACTCACCGCGCGCGGCGGCGGCTCGGCCCCGGGCCCGGCTCGGCCCATGCGCTCAGCGGCGGCGGGGCGGGAGGGACCCGGCGGGGGCGCGGCCCGAGGCGGCCCCCATCGCAGCTCGGCGGCCAGAAAAGGACGCGAGGCAGGCCGCGGGCGCGCCGCCGAGGCCCGGCCGCCCGCTCGGCGGGACGCGGCTCCGGCCCGCCTCCTCCGGCCCGCTCCAGGGGCGGCGGCGGGAGAGCGGCCGGGAGCCGGGAGCCCGAGCCCAGAGCACCGAAGCCCAGGCCCGAGCGCCCCCGCCGGCGCCGCCCGGAAGTGCGGGGGCGGGGCCGGGACGCGGGGCGGGGCCTGGAGGGCTCCGACCCGGGGCCCCGTGAGAACGGAGCCTGAGGAGGGGCGGAGTCTGCGGAGCGCGGACCTGAGGCGCGCTGGAGGGCGGAGCCTGGGCGATCGGGGGCGGAGCAGGGCGGAGCCGAGGCGCCGTGTTCGGCCGAGGGGCGGGGCTGACGGGCGCGGGTGCAGGAGCTGCGGCAGCGCCGCACAGGGGTGCAGCGGGCTGTGCGCCCCGGCGGCGGCTGGCCCCTAGATGACGGCCCACGTCGGGCCAGAAGCCTCGGGCAACGCCTCCTAGTCCAGCGTGGGCCCCTCTCCCGGACCGGCGCCCTGTGGTAAGCAGTCACCCAGGGGAATGGCAGCCAGTGGACCGCCCATCCGACCTGGTCACAGCCTGCCCTCCCCTGCCACGTTTTTCTCCCTCGGTGAGTGCTGCCCCTCAGCTGACCAGGACGCTGAGCTGAGCCAGATTCCACGCTCCTTGGCCCCACAATGACCCCTGTGGATGCCCTGGCTGCACCAGGAGCCACATCCTCACGAGCTGTGGCCTGGAGCCTCTGGAGCCTACCGGGAGCTCCCTGGGCAGTCCCCTAACCACAATTCCCCCTGCCCCCTGGGGAACCCTCAAGGGACTGTCCTTGACGCTGCTGCTGTCAGGGTACAGCTCACCGAGGCCATCCTGAGAGCCAGGACGTATAGTTGCCATTGCACAACAGTCTTTGCTGGGCAGACCATGCATGGCTTGTCAGCTCAATGCAAGGCACCTGCCCACCAGCCTAGGGACACGAGGCCACACTCCTGGTCACCTGCCCACCAGCCGAGGGACATGAGGCCACACTCCCGGTCACAGGCCCATCACCAACAGCTCCCTGAGAAGGCTGTGCATACCAGGAATGGCTGCCCCTGAGAATTTCATGCCAGCACCATGGCCCTCAACGGTTCCAGAATCCGAACCTTTGCAGAACATTTGGGGCTAGGCACCTTCTCAGAGGCCACAGCCTCAGCTCTGTAGGCACCTGCTCACTGCCTCCCCACTGGCGCGTGGGACAACAACCTGCCTCTGCCACACGGAGCATCCCAGCCTCACACCCCCAGGTCACATCCAGTGCACTCCCAGGCCTTCCAAGCTCATGGCCCACAGGGCACGACTGCTAGCTCAGGGCTCCCTCCAAGCTGCCCCAGCATGTGTGCTGCCTGGGGCAAGCATGCTACAGAGACTTCTCAACCCTTGCCTGTGTGTGCTCTGTGCCAGACTTGCTGCATTCCAGGCTGCTGGAGACCTGGCCCATGTCCTGGTGTCACCAGCCTTAGCAAAGCTGAGCCAACATGAATCCCACTGCTGCCTGGTGGCAGGTGTCGCACCCCGTTCTGCTGGGGTGCTGGACTGGACGGGAGGCAGGACACAGCAGGGTATCCATCAGATGAGGGCAGCCTGGCCGGGCTGAGCAGACCACAGGGCCTCTGGACCGGCAACCCCACCCACCCCACGCTCGCCTTACTTGTGCAGGGCTGCTGCAGCCAGGCCAGCCACCTGGTGTTCTGTCCGCGGCCATCTTCCTCCTGGCCCGTGCTGATGGGTGTCTGCAAGCCCTGGCCCCGGAACAGGGCCCTTGGGCCTCTGGCTGTTCGGGACCCCTGCCCTGCAGGGACAGGAAGGAAGTCAGAAAGCAGAGGGGACTACAGCAACCCTGCTGGTAGGGGTCCAGGGGTGGATCTGTGGGGATAGGATTGTCCAAGCAGGCCGGAGTGGGTGCAGGGACACCTCGCTGAGAGGCCAGCCTGGGGAGAGGTGGAGGAAGGCTCCAAGCCTGGGGACACAGCAGCACTCTGCTGCCCCAGGAGGAGGGAGGCGTTCTCTGCATGCAACCACAACCTGAAGCCGGGAATGGCGTTCTCTCTGGAGGCCAGGATGAAACCAGCAAGGGCGGGAGGGGGGGGCACAGGACAGCCAGAAGGCGAGTGTGTGCCTAGTGTGGAAGCTGCTTCTAGAGGGGACAGAACTGAGTGTCCTGCCCCAAGACACCACGAACGTTACGTGGGGACACACACTGCCGCTCAGAGAGGCGCAGGCCCTGGCAGGCAATGGCTTTGGGCCTTCAGGGGTCAGTGCAGCGTGGACCTCCCAAGGTGGGGTAACTTCCAGAGCCACATTCCCTGTTCCCCACACACTGTACCCTGCTTCCCTCCGGCCAGCAGCTGGGTTGGCAGGTACAGGGTGTAGGCACAGGAGGCCCAGGCCTGCCTCTCCACCCTCTGCTGTGGAGTCCCTACCACGCTGCCCATCTGAGGCCTAGGAGGGCAGAGAATGGCAAATGAGGGTGGGGGTGCCAGGTCCAGACACCCCTCTTCTGCCACCCCAGCACCCATCTCCCTGAAGGTGCATGTCAGCCTGTGTCTGGGTGCTACGGCTCCTGTCAGGCAGAATACCAAGTCAGGGTACCAGACGTCCGCTGGCCTCACCTAACACGGCAAGCCTGGCATGAGTCAGAGGAGGGTGGCGCTCAGCCTGGCTTCCAGAAACAACCAACTGCAGTGTCCTCACCCAAAGCCTCAGGCCGCTCTGACACAGGGGCACACCTGACCCCTACTGTCGGCTTGCTGCAATGCCCTTCCCAAAAGGCTTCTCCAGGCCCTGGGAGCTTGCCACAAAAAGTCAGGTCCCCTGACTTTTTGGCGACTGAGTGCCATCCCCTGCTGTCCCAAGATGTCTCTCTTGGCTGCTAGGAGCTGGGGGCTGCCACAGCCCTGTCCTGAGCATCTCTCTGGCTGCTTTGTCGCCACGGAGTTGGCCATGCAGACAAAAGTGTACTGGATTAGCCACAGCGGATTAAAAGATTTGCTCCTTGGAGTTCACTAATAACCCAACAATTGAGGCGCCAGAGGCTTTGGACCCTCAGGACACGCCTGCCACACCAGCCAAGCCTCTAAGGCCTCCAGAAATCCTTCTCGGGCTCATGGTCAGTGGGGGTCATAATGTACCTACTGGCCTGTGCTTCTGTCCTGCCAACTGCCCATGGCCAGGCTGCACTCCCCAATGGCTCCCGCTGGGCCGAGAAGGCAAAGATGCAGGTGGGAGCACTCAGCCCGCACAGGACCACCTTCCCATGGATCGAGACTCCCTCAGCCCAGCCCATCTGCCCCACAGCCATCCACATGCATCACACACAGCCATTGCAGGGACATGAGAAGTGTGCGAAGTGACAGTGGCAGGTTGCAGGAACCCGGCAGGCTGTAGCCTGCTGTTGCATGTCGCTTGCGCTGGCTCCACGACATGCACTCCTGTTCACATGCATACACATCACACAAACGTGCCCCCCTTCATCTCCAAGGGGAACGCCATTGGCCAGTCCCCAGACCCCAGCTGCTCTCCCAGGGCCTGTCCTCTGGGCTCCAAGTAATGGGATTTGGCAACTGATCCACCCGGTAGGCCGCCCTGTTATAGGTAGACATTTTCTTTTCTTCTTACCGCTTTTTTCTTCTTCTTTCTCAAGAAAAAAGAAAATCACAATGCTTCCTAAACTGCACTGACCTGACAGAGCTTGCCGCCCAGCCCCGGGAGCGATGGCCAGCACACCAAGGCAGGCTGGGGGTCCGCAATGCTTTGCGCCACGCCTTTGTCTTTGCACCCCCACCTCGGGATGTCTGGGGAGAGGTCCACGAGTGAGGGCGGGCTGGGCTACAGCCAGAGAACAATGGGCGCCAGGGGTACGTCCACCTGCACACCTGTCCACCCGGCCGGCTGTCCACCCACGCGGCTTACCTCACCTGCCTGCATCCCGCTGTCCGCCATGATGGGCTTGGCTGTCCGACCGAGCACTTTGAGCCACTCCAGGACCCAGTCCCTGCTTGGCCACTGTGTGGCTGGGAGGCAGAAGCCTGCAGCTCAGGCTCCCACTGCCGATTGGCTGAGGGAGGGACCAGATGACGGCCTCGAAACCCTATGGTAACCATAGCAACCAGCCCCTTTAGACACAGCCACCCCTGAGCCATTTGTGCCGGCTGGGGCACAGGTGGCATCACCAGTGAGCCCATGCCAGGGTCCCCTTGGAGGGTGAGCCGGGCGTGGCCACATGATAGCTGCTTGCACAGCAGCTGCTGAAGGTCTGGGTGTGTGCTCTATGCACGCCTGGTGTGGAGGGTCTTGGGCCCTCTCTTGGCCTAACTGCAACTACTGCACTGACCACCTCCCACCAGCCATGACAGCAGCAGTGTCCCTTCAACCCCATGGCAACCCTTCCTGAAAGGACTTCAGGTCAGGCTTGCCCCAGGGGCTGAAGGGCAGGGAGGACTCTCCATGCACAGCTGCCTTCCCTGTGCCAGCTGACCAGTCCACTCCCTCTCAGGAACCACTGCCTGTAGACGCACAGACGTGCCTTTGTAAGACCCGCCCCGGTCCTGTTTCCTAGGGATGGGTCTTTCCTTGGTGTGCCAAGAGCCTTGCTTCTCGGCCAGGGGGAGTATCATCATCACCTTGGACAGGGACCATGGCTCACCTGTCCACACACTCCAGAAGTCAAGGCACCTGGGAAAGCCTTCTATGAGCCTCAGGAGGAGGCTGGCAAAGTGGTGCAGTTAAGCTACCACCTGCAACGCTGGCATCTCACAGGGTGCCGTTTGAGTCCCAGCTGCCCCACTTCTCATGCAGCGGCCTGTGGATGCATGTGAGAAGGCAGCAGCAGATGGGCCAGGTCATTCCACCAGAGCAATGACAACCCCTGGGGGCTCAAATAGCCACTGAGGAGGGAAGACCAGGAGAACCCAAGGTTACACACTCAGGGGGTCCTGGTGAGCTGGTTGGAGCTGACATAGGTGTTGCTTGGCAGGCATCCTGGACTTGACTCCAGGGTCCCTCCAACTGGCCTGGCCCAGAGCTACCATCTGCTGGGCCCAAGGGTGAGAAGGGCTGTTTTGTAGGAGCTCGGCCAGGGCCAGGGGCCCCTGCTGCTGACACAGCATGGTGGGCATCAGAACCAGAAAAAAGGTCCAGTTGTAGGCAGGTGGCAGTGTTTACATGGGCAAGGCAGAGGGTAGCACAGATTGAAGGTGGAGACAGCCAGGGTACAGAGCTCTAGGAAGACCCCACTAAGGTGCAGGGTGCCCTCCATGCACCTGAGCAGGCCCTGACCCCTATATGGAGTAATGGGACACACACCATGAAGGCCCACACACTCCTACAGCTGGTCTCTGGGATACACATCTGCGCTCTCTTGGCCTCTGAGAACTGGGGCCAATCAGACCCCAGGGTCTGAGGTCAATGGTCAGACCCCAGGGTCAGGGGTCAATGGTATAAACTGAGCTGTCAACAGCCCCTACTGCTTGCACCCCAGTGGCTGCAGAACTTGAACAAGTGGCACTCCCAAAGGCAGGAGTAGATATAGCAAGAAGCTGGCAGGTGTGCCAATGGCATGAACACATGTATACAAGTCTGCACCCATGTGAGCAGGCCCCATCTTGCCAACCTTAGAGGCAGCAGACTGCTGCTGACCCAGCCTGTTCAGGGTCTGGCCCAATCTGGTTACTGTTTTATGTGTAGGGGAGAGGGGCTTCCTTTTTTTTTTTTTTTTTTTCTTCCATTCTCAGGGCTCTTAACCTTTCAAGTCAGGGGTTTATGCCACCCAGCATCCTGCAGGTCTCAGCTGCTCCACTTCCAATTCAGCTTGCTGCTGATGGCCTAGGAAGGTAGCAGAAGATGGCGCAAATGCTTGGACCCTGTACCTAAGAGGGAGACCCAGAAGCAGCTTCTGGCCTGGCCTCATCCAGGCTGTTGCAGCACTTGGGGAATGCAGCAGCAGATGGCTCATGCAGGCAACCCAGCCACTGCCCCGAGTGCCCTTGAGCAGGCCATGGGTGGGGTAGGTAGAAAGCCTGAAGTGACCTGGATCCAGCGCAGAGTGAGGGCTGGGGAGGGGACCCTGGGCTCCTCTGCAGCCAGGGCTCACATCCTGGGCCTAGAAGCGTCTACCTCATCTTCCATTTGTGCTCTGGGCAAGATGTGGATGCCCTAGCTGGCAGGCAGGGAAGGCATGGGACAGCCACTGGTCAGCTGGAAACCTCATGGGGACACCCATTGCAGGCCGCTGACAACCTGTCCCAACAGTGCCCTCAGCTGTCCACAAATGGCCACTGCCTCCCACTCTTCTGATCCTGAGAATGTTCCAGAATATGCAGGGAAGCGGAAGTGGTAGGGGTTAGCACATCCTTCATGTGCCCCAGGACACTTCCACCCCGATGTCCAGTGCTTGGATGGGCGGCCAGCCCCTACACAGCAGGCTGTGGGTGCGGGACCTTCGACAAGAACTCCAGAGAAGCACACACAGCCTGGCTCAAGCTTTACTCGCTCCCTCTCTGCAGGCAGCAGCACGGGGCCCTGTCCCCGGCCTCAGCAAAGCCCACTGCAGCCCAGGGAGCTGTGTGGGAGCCACTCACTGTCCACAGGCGGCCCTCAATCAGCCCAGGCTCTGAGTGAGTCCACAGCGTAAGGGCCCACTGAGGACAGCTGAGCCTGCTGCTCGCTCACTTCCTGCTGGCCGTCTTCTGGACCACTGCGGGCTCTGAGAGTGCCTGCTGCTGCAGCCTCTGAATCAGCTCTTCCACGTAGACCTTGAACAGTGGAATGGGGTCCTGAAGGGAAGATGGGGTCACCATAGGCATTGGCACACTGTGGGGAGCAGCCAAGCACCCAGGGGGCTGAGGCGGCACACACGCCCCTCTCCTGGCCCATGGCCCCCACCTTCTCTCTCTCTCTCTCTCTCTCACACACACACACTCCCCTCTCCTGGCCCACAGTCCCCACCAGCCCCCACCTTCTCTCTCTCTTACACACACACACACACACACACACACACACACACACACACACACTCCCCTCTCCTGGCCCACAGCCCCCACCAGCCCCCACCTTTTGCTCCAGCAGCCGCTGTTTCTCCACGGCCTCCTCCAGTGTCAGGCCAATCCACTCAGCCTCAGCCTCTGGGATGACAAACTCCTGGCAGGTGGACAGAGGACTCCGTGAGGACCTGGGCCCAGCCTGGGGCCCAGGATGAAGGGGGCATGAGGCCATACCTTGTACTTGTCATAGATGGCCGCCCTGCGCTGGGGGTCGTCCGGGTGCAGCTGGGGGTCCTGCTGGGCCAGCCGCAGCAGCATTCCTCGCTTCAGGTCCATGCCGAACTTGGAGCACAGGTCCTCCTTGGGGGTCTGCAGGGGCTCCCATGAGGCCAGGGCTCTCCCACCCCCGGCAGGCCCCAGGCAGCTCCCCTCCCCACACACCGCTTGCCTTCAGGATGTAAAAGTCGAAGCCAAAGGCTTTGTCAATGAGGTCGAGGGTCCGCATGGTGACCGTCACGGTGAAGGTTTTGTCCAGGATCTCGCTGTACAGCTCCCGCTCAAACAGCTGCGGCTTCCACACCTTCTTCACCCTCTTGGACAGCTAGGGAGGGGGTGACAGCAATTAGGGCAGCAGTCCACCTGAAGCCAGCATCCCAGGCCTTCACCCCTCACCTCATCTCCTGCAGCCCAACCCTGAGAACACCATGCTCAACACTAGCCCCTCGCTCTGTCGTCCCCCTAGTCCAGCCCCCAGGACACCATGCCCAGCACTCGCCCCTCGCCCTGTCTTCCCCACTCACCTTGTCATCCCCCACGTATCTGTAGCCCAGGATCCAGCCCTCGCCGCCCCACAGCCCTCGCTGGCACTCGGGCGGATAGTGGATGGGGATGGGCACGTCCTCCACGCGCTCCCGCTGCCCGTTCCTAGGGTTGACCCTGAACTTGACCCCGTGGGGCCGGTAATGCACGGGAGTGGGCTCCCGCGTGTCCTCCAGAGCGCGCAGGTAGTGCGCGGGCAGGCGGGCGCGGATCCCTTCCCGCAGCTGCAGCCGCCTCCACAGGTGTACCGGGAACTTGTGCAAGGGCATGGCTGCGCGCCGCCCCGATCGGGACCGGGACCCCGGAACCCAACCCCGACCCGCAACCGGAACTCGCGCCGGCCCGCCCGCCGGCCCCGCCGCAACCGGAACTCGCACCGCCTCCCGCCGCTGACTGGCTGCTACACTAGTCCATCTGCCCATTACCCCCACACACTTCCTGTAGTTAGCGGCTTGGAAAACATCCCGCTCCAGGAAAAGTGCGCCCCGTGTTGGCCCCACGGGATGAAGGTGAAGATTGGGCTTGACAAGGGTGATCGTCCAGCCTCATAGGGAGTATTGGAGAAGTTTATTGAAAATGCACAATATACAAAAATCTACACATTGATTTTAAAATCTTCTTGCACCAAAATAAACTCTTAATTCAAAATTCTCATTTTAAAAAAAAGAAAAAATCACAGAATATTAAATTCATCAGTTATAGCGAAATCAGATCTACATAAATATATATCTGAACGTCTTGGAATCTCTGACCCCTCAGAACACCCCATATATCTATATGTATGTGTAATATTTCTCATGTACAAGCCTAGAAAATGCTTTGGTGGCCAAGAGCAAGGCCAGCAGGAGAGCCCTCGGCACAGGCTGCCCTTTGGCCGGCAGCAGCGACCCCTCCCCAGGCACGCTGACTGGGGGCACTGTGCCTTCAGGGAAGGGTCCGGGGTGCCCATCTGCCTTTCCCCTCCCCCAAGCAGGCAGCCTTCAGGTGGGGGTGCCCCAGCACAGCTTCTCAGAGAAGAGGGGCTCTTGGCCCACAGTGCTACCCATCGATCGGGCAGCGCCGACCGGCTGACTCCCCGCACCCAGGGGCAGCGGGCACCTGGGGGGGGACACCGGCCAGGCAAGCAAGCATGAGAGCGCTGGGCAGTTTTATTTGGATGGAGATGGGAACGCAGAGGGACAGCCCGTCATGTCACGGTGTACAGCTCGTCCCGGTCATTCCTGCAGATCTGGTAGTGGCAGGGGAGCTTGGGTGAGCAAGCCCAGGGCTCAGCGCACCGGTCACGGGGCGGAAGCAAAAGCGCGGCGCTGGCTGCCAGCAGGACATGCCAGATGCTGTGGGTGTAGTAGTAGTTGTCGTTGGTCATCATTGATGTGTAGATGGTAATGCCCACGAAGGCCATGCAGATGCCCGGCAGGAGGAAGAAGGCCCAACGCTGCCAGGATGTAGGGTAGCAACGGTGCCGGTGTCCACAGCGGTACACCTGGAAGCAAGGATCCAGGAGGGACACACAGGAGGGGTGTCACAGTGGAGGGAGGGACACACATGTATCGCCAGGGAACAGGGGTGACCTCCCAGCAATGGCCATGCGGTGAAGTGGTACCAGGCCTGGTGGCTTACCCACATGGAGGCCATGATCACAAAGGCAAAGAGACAGGGCCCCATCATATTCCAGATGCCCCTGCGGTCCAGCTGCAAGGACATGGCAATAACCAGTGTGCCGAGGAGATACAGGACCTGGGCGAGACACAGGCATGGCAACAGGTTATGGGAGCCTCTGGTGCTGCCTTGGGGGGTGGGGTCTCATGAGTGCATCCATCCTGCAGCTCCCCACAGGCGTCACCCACACAGAGGGCCCAGAGTTGCTGCCCTGCCCGGTGGCCACTCACATGTTTCAGGGCAGTCTTCAGCCGGGCCATGCAGAGGACTGTGACCCAGGCAGACACGCCTGAGCCCAGGAAGTCACAGTATTGCAGTGTGTCATAGCTGAGGATACACAGCACGGCCTCTCCTGGCTGGTCACAGGCATGGTAGAACTGGGGGGCAGAGGTGGGGCATGAGCAGGGGCCCAGCTCCCCCCTGTCCCTCTCCGCCCCCACCGCATACTCTACCGTGGAGAAGAACATGGTATAGCAGTAGACCGAGGCCTCAACCAGGAGGGCACGATGCAGCGAGACGGCAATAGGTGCCAGGAACATAACGTTGCTAAGTGTGAGCAGCAGCGCAGCCACCCTCTGCTGGGCTGGTGTCTGTGCAGTGCTGTTATCCGAGCAGCTCCAGCCGCGCCAGCCTGGGGGCAATGGGGTGGCTGAGGGTGGCTGGGGCCCCGGGGGTGGGGGACATGCTGGGCGGATGGGCCACGGCAGAGCTCACCTGCCTTACAGCTGCAGCCGGCATACAGGTAGCCATGTCTGCGCAGCAGCAGGCACTGGCCGTACCGCCCACAGTCATTCCAGCAGGGCTCTAGGTACACGGAGGTCTCCACAGGCAGCATGACCTGTTCGCAGTCCCTGCAAATGGGTTGGGGCGCAGCTGTAGGAGTGCACATCAAGGCTGCCACCCCAAGGAGCCCCCGCCTACTCACTGGGGGCTGTCGGGACACAGGAGCTGCAGGGAAAGGTACCAGGTGGCCGTCTCTGGATAGGGGATGATGAGCTTGTCTGAGTACGAGGAGGGGCTCAGCGACAAGGCATGGCCCTGGAAGAAGGCTGTGGGACACAGGGCCCATCAAGGGTGGCAGGCAGCAAAGGGAGCCCGCAGGGCCCTGCACCCGGAGGCCACCCAGTCCTCTACCTGTGGTGCAGCTGACTGAGGTGTTGAAGCTGAGGAAGGGCGAGGCCACGGTCACGCAGGCTGCCACCAAGGTGCCATTGGCTAGGGTTGTCTGCAGGGCAGGCTGGGTAAGCTCAGCTCCAGGGCTCTGGCCCCAGCCGCGGTCCTGCAACCTCCTGCCCAAGCCTGCATTAGGTGCAGCCCCAGAATCTGACACTAAGGCAATCCCAGGATCCCACTTGTTCCCCCACAAAACCTCTACCCCCAGCCGCCCAGGCTCCCTCACGCGGACATCCCCCCAGCTGCTCCCTCACGTGGACGTCCCCCCAGCTGCTCCCTCACGTGAACGTCCCCCCCCAGCCACCCGGGCTCCCTCACGCAGACATCCCCCCAGCTGCTCCCTCACACGGATGTCCCCCCAGCTGCTCCCTCACGTGAACGTCCCCCCAGCCACCCGGGCTCCCTCACACAGATGTCCCCCCCAAGGTCTCCCAGCCTGTCCCTACAGAGATGAACCCCTAGTTCTCCAGGATCCTTCACATGGAGGACTTCTCTGTCCAACCAGGCTCCCTCACATGACCAGCCACCAGGACCAGCTGCCCTAGTGACTCAGGGTCCTGCCTGCCATGGGGCACAGTACCTGGTTGGCCCTCAGGACGACGGTGAGGGAGCCCCCGCTGTCCATGCCCGTGTTGAGGCGCAGTTGCATCAGCGAGGGCATGCCTGAGCGCACCAGCACCATGATGCCGTCCAGGGGCTGGAAACGCACGGACATCACGTCCAGGTCTTCCCGTACTACTGGGTAGTGCAGCAGGCAGAACGGGTCACCGCCTGCCCTGCCAGCCTGGGCGAGCTCCTGGCCACCAGGCCCCGGGGTCAGCTGCCTGGCGGAGGCGTTCCCACTCTGATTCAGGGGGTTCTGCACCAGTGGTGGAAAGGGCACAGTCCAGGGCCTGCAGGCTGAGGGAACAAGGGGCTCAACCTGGGGTCGGGAGCAGAGCCAGGCTCCCACCCCCAGGACAGCCCACCTGTAAGTACAGCAACAGCACTGAAAGCCACAGATGCACGAGGTCCTGCCAGACTCTCGGCCATCACATGCAACCACTGGTCCCAGGGTGGAGAGGCTAGCAGCAGTTGGCAGGATGGGTTGGGACCAGCACACGAGAGCATCTTCTGGAAGCTGCCAGGAGAGGTGGCCGAGCCCACAGAGAGACGCACGGGGCAGCCCCCACTCTGGTTGGATGTGCAGCCCTGTAGCTCCAGCTGAAGCTGCTGGGTATACTCGGGGATGAAGACTCTGGTGGGAAGGGGGGTTCCGAGAGTTTGGCAGGACACGGAGGCACCACCACAGCACCCGACCAGGAGGCTGGGGCCACTGGCAGAGCACCCACCCCCCAACCTGACCAGGGGACCCTGCTCACTTGAGGTAGCTGGGGTGTGAGAAGAGAGTCTGTGCAAGAGGCACATCAGGCTCCATGATGGAGAACTCAATCACCCGTGTGACCAGCAAGTCAGGCTGGAAGACGTACGCACAGGTGGGGACGAAGCCCTGGGTGAGGACAGACACAGGAGGGACACTGAATGGGAAGGGCGCAGGGGGTGGCCAGGCACCAATGAGGACACAACTGGGGTTGAGTGGGGATGTAGGGTGGTGTCAGGGTGACCCAGCCCTGCAACGGAATGGGGCATGTGTGTACACTGGCACATGTGTCCATGCATGCGTGTGTTGGGTATGCAGAATGGGGAGATCAGTGAGGTTGAATTGGCAGGGAAAGGGCAGGGGCTAAAGGGGTAGCCAAGGCCCCACCTTTGAAAGGCAACACCTTACCTTCACCTCAATCTTTTGGGAGGACGGAGGCAGGTGGGCGACCACAAACCAATCCCCGGGTGCTGGGTGGGACATGTTGACCGAGGCATTGCCCAGCAGCATCTTGACATAGAAGGACTGGGGCACCAAGGTGTCATCCGGGAATCTGGTGTCCAGTGGGTTGATGACAGGAGGGGCACCGTGGCGGAAGTGCCTGTGGTCAAATGAGGGGTTGGGTGAAGCACCAGCCAGCCTTCCTGGGTGGCCGTGATGAGTGCTGCCTGCAGGGACCAGGGGCACCCACACAGTGATGTTCATCTCGGCGCAGGCCAGGCCGCTGTCCTGGGAGGCCTGCAGCAGCCAGCGCAGCAGCACGGTGTCACGAGGGACATGGAAGCGGAAGAGCCTGGCGCTGCCGTACCAGCTGTAGGTTGACAGCTTCTGCGGGGCCTGTGAAAAGTGCTCGAACACCAGCCCGGGCTCTGAGAGAGACGCTGTGTCAGCCGGGCCCCATGGGCCCCACACGCCTCCACACTCTCCCAGCACCCAGAGCCCCTGCCATACCCCGCAGCTCCTGGGTGTCACCCAGAGGACCTGCTGCACCTCTGGCCCAGATGTCCCACACCTGTCAGAGCCTTCCCACTTGCGGCACAGTCCACAGCGCAAAAGGGCATCCTCTTGTTGCTCTGCATTTGGCAGGAGCTGCCAGTCACCTGGCCTCCCCTGACCAAGAACGCCACACAGGGAGCCTCTGACAGCCCCCCGCCCCCAGCTGCCAGCCTGGAAGGCCCTCCCAGGACACCCCATCTCCCATCTCATCCCCTCGGGACCTCTCACAGCCTGGCACAGTGGCCACCTAGGCCATCCTCCTGGACAGATGCGAGGTGGAGGCCTGCTCAGGTGAACCACAGCACCCAGCCTGCCCCAGTCCAAGCTGCTGCTTTCCCAGAAAGTGCCGCATGGAGGTGGGGACGGGGCGATCTTGACCCGCAGCATGGCCCAGAGGAGTCAGCAACTGCCCGTGGGGTTCTCAAGTACTAGTGCTGCCAGACCCTGTGGTCACTCAGGCCTGAGGCCCTGGACAGCTTCAGGCTTGTTGCACTCTTCCGGGGTCCTGTTTGAGGGGGACAGCATGTCCTCTAGGTGCCCTCCTGCTAAGGTTAATGAGCAGTACAGCTCTGGAGACAGGAATGTGCTGCGGAGCAAGCAGGGATTGGCCACCCAGGAAGCCTCCCTCCTCCCATTGTGAGGGCGCGGGCACTACTGCCAACCTGCTGACCCCTTCCCCAGAGGCCCCCAGAGCTGCCAGATGGCCCGGTCAGCCACTGGTCAAGCTTGCAGTGAAGGCTGGCCAGAGGTCTGAACCTGGCAGTTGCCCAGAACGTCTGCAAAATCAGGGTCCACTGAGGATTCATTCCAGGCCGCCCTGGTAAATGCCCCTACACCTAGCAGCTGAAGGCCCCAAGGCTGCACAGGACAGAATGGGGGAGGCAGGAAAGCCCAGGAAAGCATGTCAGCTCTGCCAGCAGCTGCGTTAACCGCCCCCAGGGCAGGTGCCAGGACCTCTTTGCCCTTGAGCACACAGCCTGGGCACGCCTGCAGATCACACATCTGCTAACCAGAACCCAGCCTGTCCCTGCAGCCACCCTGAAACTCAGTGATCCCAAGCCACCCCTGACCTCTGGAAGGGTTAGAGAGACAGGTCCAGGTATCCCTGCTGCCACAACACACCCTCCATAGACACAAACCCCAGCCTGTGCTGGGAACCGGGCCAGGATATGCACCTGCTGCAGACTCGGCACCAAGGAGCTGCCAGCCTCACAGCCCCCAAGGCTCCCGCCAGGCGTCCCACCCGGTCACCAAGTCCACTGCCCATCCCACAGTGACCCAGGAGCCTGCTGCTCCCAGGGAGGAAGAAAACAGGGCAGCAGGCTCCAGGGGAGCAACTTAATCAGGAGTTCGATCCTCTGGGAAAGCTGCCTTTCTTGTGAAGTGGTGCCAAGCTCGGAAACCAGGAGGCACAGCCCGGGAAGAAACTAGAGCTCAGGGAGGGAGGGCTGGCAGCACAACGGGAGGGACAGCCAGGGCCACGGGCTCATCCCCGAGCTGGACCCGGTAAAGCAGCATCTTCATTGGTCCAGCCACCTGACCGGCAAGCAGAGAGATGAAACAGACACACTGGCAAGTCCGCGCCCCCCACTCCAGGCTGGACCCCAGTGGTCCCGGACCGCCGGGCTGCTCGGGTCGCTGTCGAAAGTGGGCGCCGGAGCTCCCGGTGCCCGGCAGCCCGGCCCGTCGTGCCTCCCCGGTACGGGGGGGGGGGGGGGGGGGACACCCGCAGGCGCAGCTAGGTCGGGCCGGACCTGAACGTCTCGGGAAGTGAGGCGAGGGGAAAGCAACCAGCCCCGCTCCGGAGCCCCGCTCCGGGACCCCTCGCCCGCGCCAGGTGAGCGCACAGGCGCCCCCGGCTCAGTCACAATCCGCCCCCGCCCCCGGCGCTCCGCGCGCCCCCAGCCCGAGCCGCGGGTCCGCGCTCGCTCACCGCTCTTCCCGCCGTCGCCCGCGGCAAACCGGGGCAGAGCCAGCAGCAGCAGCAGCAGCGGCCCCGCCACCGCCCCCGCCGCGCCCCCGGCCCCGGTGCCAGCCCGGCCCATGGCTGCGCGCTCCGCCGGCGCTACCCGGCCCGCGTCCCCGGCCGCCCGCCTCCGCCGCCCGGGCAGCCCTCGCCGCCAGTGCGGCCGCCGCCGCCGCCGCCGCAGCCTCTGTCCCGGCCTCCCATGGCCCGGCCGGTCCCAGTCGCCGGCGCCCCGGGCACTTCCGCCTGCGCGGCCCCGCCCCCAGGCAGCCGGCGGGGCGGGGGCGCGGGGCTCGGGTGGGCGGGGGCGCGGGGCGCGGGTGGGCGGGGGCGGGGGCGCGGGTGGGCGGGGGCGCGGGGCTCGGGTGGGCGGGGGCGGGGGCTCGGGTGGGCGGGGGCGCGGGGCGCGGGGGGGCGGGGGCGGGGGGCGGGGCGGGGGCGCGGGTGGGCGGGGGCGCGGGGGCGGGGCGCGGGGGGGCGGGGGCGCGGGTGGGCGGGGGCGCGGGTGGGCGGGGGCGCGGGGCTCGGGTGGGAGGGGGAGTGCGCAGCCGGGCGCAGGTGGGAAGCGGACGGAGGGGCCCGCGGCCGAGTCAGCGGGACACGGGACCAGGCACGAGGGCTGTGCCAGATGGAGGGGCAAGGGGCAGAGGGCAGGGCGGGTGCGGCGATGGAGCGCACCGGGCAGTCAGGCGGGATGGAAAGGGGTGCAGTGGTCGCGGGCCTGAGGGGCGGAAGGGGCGCTGGACCGCGCAGGAGACGCTTGCGGCAGCGCCTGTGACTTCTCCCTGCGGGGGAGAGGGTCGCAGGATGGATCCATGGGCGTGTCACAGGAAGGGGCGAGGCTGGCCTTGGCGCAGAAGCTGCTGATACTCAAAAGACAAATGAGCGCTTCTGACACTAGGCACGGAACATTCTCTTCCCTGGGCGGCAGGAGCTGCTCACCGCTCCCCCACCACCAGCAGGTTCCTGGCAGTTCAAAGATTGGATCCTCGGGAAGGAGACCAGGAAAGCTCTAGAAGACAGTTTTTCCAGAGTCGCAGGGACCTGGGCAATGAATTCCTCCAGTGGGAAGGCCTCGGTTCCTTCCCAGTCTCAGGGCTACCTGGTGCTCCAGCCCACCCATTGCACCTTCACACACCTGGGAAACCGCTTGGGCCCTGCACCCGCGGGAATGGCTCTTTGGGCCTCTGGGAAGTGAAGCTGTGTATGGAAGCTGTTTCTCTGCCTCTTATCCTCCCTCTCTTTAACTCTGCCTCTTAAATAAATAAATAGGGATCTGACACGGTAGCCTAGCAGCTAAAGTCCTCGCCTTGCATGCACCTGAATCCTATATGGGCACCGGTTCTAATCCCTGCAGCCCGCTTCCCATTCAGCTCCCTGCTTGTGGCCTGGGAAAGCCGTCAAGGACGGCCCAAAGCCTTGGGACCCTGCACCCACGTGGGAGACTAGGAAGAGGCTCCTGGCTCCTGGCTTAAGATTGGCTCAGCTTCAGCCATTGCAGCCACTTGGGGAGTGAATCAGTGGACTGAAGATCTTCCTCTCTGTATATCTAACTGCAATAAAAATAAAATATATCTTTAAAATAAATAAGCACATATTTTAAAAATAAAAACAAGACACAAAGTATGGGGGGGTGGTGCCCATCACAGAGGATTTACAATCCTGTTTTTTTTTTTTGTAAGATTTATTTATTTTATTGGAAAGGAAGATATACAGAGATGAGGAGATACAGAAAGGAAGATTTTCTGATGGTTCACTGCCCAAGTGACTGCAACAGCTGGAGCTGAGCCAATCTGAACCTAGGAACCAGGAGCCTCTTCTGGGTCTCCCATGCAGGTGCAGGGTCCCAAAGGAGCTGGACAGGAAGCAGGGTCGCCCGGATTAGAACCAGCGCCCATATGGTGATCCTGGCGCATTCAAGGCGAGGACTTTAACTACTTCGCTATTGTGCCGCCAGCCTGGCCGCCTGTGCCCCGTTTGGTGTAGTTGCTCTGCATGACCAAGAGCAGAATCTGAAGTGGAGCTGCCAGGGCTAGAACCCGTGCTCATAGGTGTGCTGGTGGCTTCACTGATTGCACTCCCATGTGGGCCCCGAAATCAAGCATTCAACACTTAAGAGCCATCTGGGAAACCAGCAGTCACAGAACACTGGCGTCCAATCCCGCCAACAGGAATGCCAGTGGCCAGCTTGGGAGCGCCCCAGAGGGGCTTTGATCCACAAGTTCAGCAAGTGCTCTAGGCAGCAGAGCCAGTAACCAGTAACGTGGACATGGAGAGGGTCTGGGGCATCCGGCAGAAAACCAGTGATGGTAGAAGTCTCCGCCAAGTCTCGCTTTTATTGCTCCTTCACCTAGCCTTATATACTCCCCCATCCTCATTTAGCAGGATATTGGATACAGGTAAGTCCAATTAATCTCGATATTTTTAGCTGAGCCCAGTCACTAGTCGTTTTCTTAGCCCACAACAAGCAAGTGCTGCAGCCCTGGGCAGAGGCCCCTGCATTCCTGGGAGCCTGCAGGGCCAGGGCGACCCTTGGCTGAACATTAGCCGCTAGCTGTGCCCAGTGGCAGTGCCATGGGCATGGGCTACCAAGTGTAATGTGGGCTGAGGTGGAGGGGAGGGAAAGGCCTAGAAGGTCTCTGGGAGAACCCAGCAGCAGGCACTCTGACCCCGGGCGGGAAAGTCAAGGGGTCTCTGTCTGCCTTCCCAGTTCTTGGGGGGAGGGGGAGGAGGAGTAGAACAGACACCCCCATGAGCCGGAAGCCACTAATGATGGAAGAAGACCACAGGCCAAGGGAGAATCTCTGGAATCTGGGTGGGGCCTCCCCAAGGCAGGGGGATCCCCTTACTACCTGACAGCCAGGCCTGTGGATGGCCCATTTACCAGCGTTAGCAAGAGGGAAGACTGTTCCAAGGAACTGGCATCTTGGGGACAGATTATACGGCCGGGCCTTGGCAGAGCAATTATGTCTCTAGCATCTGTGCAGTCTCGGCCGCTCCACTTCCCATCCAGCTCCCTGCTTGTGCACCTGGGAACGCTGCGGGAAGGCTGGTGAGACCTGGGAGACCTGGGGACTCCTCATGATTTTGCAGACATTCTGGGCAACTGCCAGGTTCAGACCTCTGGCCGGCATTCCAAACCCTTCCCCACCAACCCCGAGGTGGGGCGTTGTTCTTATGCAAATGTTTCTGTTCCCCCAGATGGCCCCGGTAATTCACAGAGCCCTAGCTTCCTTCTATTATAAACTTAGGCAGGCTCCTTCATCCAGCCCCAGCAGCTCCGTTCAAAGGCTGCTGCTGCGAGGTTTGGCCAAGCTGTGGTTTTAGTGCACGGAGCAGCTGGCTGCTGCCAAGATGACCCAGGAGGACAGCTGTGGTCAGTACCCAGCCCTGGAGGATGCCTGTCCACAATCTGGTTCTGGGCAAGCTGGGCTTATTGGGCCATGTGGTTGACATGCTCCTGGGAGGGGCCTGGGGACCTTGGTGCAGAGACTTGCCGCAAGTGAGGGGAGTGTGAACTGAAACTGCTATGGCAATAAATGTTGTTATTGTTATCTCAAAGGCTAGCCTGTCTTTGCAATTTTTTTGGAGCATAGAAAATGTAACTGTTCTAGCCACTTTTACAATTTTTAGCTAGAGAAATTAAGGATGCTTTGATTAAAGAAATATGCTTTTGATTGTTTCATTGTTTATGTGGTTGCAGAGGGAATTTAACATTTGAAACTTTTGTCTTAGATTTTTTTGTTTTTTTGCCCTTGTGACATATTTTTCCCATTAAATGATGGGTAAGTTGTAGAAATAGAAATGTCGTAGGAATGTTTTACTGAGTAGCAGGTAATCGCATGTGCCTTGGCCTTGGATTCCTGGCTGGCGCTCCATGGCTACTGCTGAAGAATGAATCAGGGCACCTGCTCAGCCCTGAAGTGCAGACGGAGTGACCAAATGTCTGTGCATGCCCCCTTAGTCTTGAAGTAAAAACAGAACAATTAGTTATTTGTGTAGAAGCTTGTGATGTGTCTGAGTAAATAAAAAAGGCCAGCTTCTTTTAAAGATTTATTTTTATTATTTTTTCATTGGAAAGGCGGATATACAGAGAGGAGAGACAGAGAGGAAGATCTTCCGTCCGATGATTCACTCCCCAAGTGAGCGCAACGGGCCGATACTATGCCGATCCGAAGCCAGGTCTCCCACATGGGTGCAGGTTCCCAAAGCCTTGGGCCGTCCTCCACTGCTTTCCCAGGCCACAGGCAGGGAGCTGGAAGGGAAGCGGGGCTGCCGGGATTAGAACCGGCGCCCATATGGGATCCCGGGCGTGCAAGGCGAGGACCTTTAACCACTTGCGCCACCGCGCCGGGCCCAAGGCCAGCTTCTTGAGCTGTGGCGAGAGGGCACCAAGTGGCAATGTCTGTGTCTTTAACACCGACTCCACACACATTTCCCAAGCTCCGAATCTGAGTCTTTTTTTTTTTTATAAGATTTATTTATTTATGCTGGAAAGTCAGATTTTCAGAATGATAGAGAGACAGAAAGATCTTTCTTCTGTTGGTTCACTCCCCGTCTGCTGGTTCACTCCCCAAGTGGCCGCAGTGGCTGGAGCTGATCTGAACTGATCTGAAACCAGGAGCTTATGGGAAGCGGGGCCATTGGGACTAGATCTTGTACCCATATGGGAGCAAGGTGCATGCAAGGCGAGGGCTTTAGCCACTAGGCGACAGTGCCAGACCCCCAAGTGAGGTTTTTCGTTTTTTTGTTTTGTTTTTTAGTTTTTTTAGTTTTTTTTAAACATGAAGGTAACAATATGGAAAACATATTAGTATTATCCACTTTCCTGTAGCCCTTGAACCTTCTTACCCTAATTAACTATGTAAAGAATGTCAAAATAAAATTTATTAATAAAAAAAAAAAAAAAAAAAAAAAAAAAGAAAGGCACAAATACAGAGAGGAGCAAGATAGAGATCTGTTGTTCACCAGCTCACTCTTGAAATGGGTGCAATGGTTGGAGCTACAAGCACATGGCTGTTCTCCCAGACTACAAGCAGGGAGGTGGTTCAGAAGCAGCCAGGACAAGAACCTGTGTCCACATGGGAGGCCGGCAATGCAGCTGGAAGATGAGTTTGCTATGCCACAGCGCTGGCCCTCAGAATTTTTTGTTGTTGTTGTTAAGATTTGTTTAATTATTTGAATGACAGAGAAAGGCAGACAAGGAAATATCTCCACCTGCTGGTTAGGGTGAGCAGCTGGGCCCAGGCCATCCGAACCCTGGAGGAAATCAGCCAGTCCTTCGAAGCTGCAGCTGCCCCTTGTGTCCACTGCAGGTATCTCCCCAGGACAGCCTGGACACCACCGGAAATCCAGCTGTGCTGCCCTGGAAGTCAGCACCTCCCTGCTGTGTTGGGGGAGTCTCGACTTCCAACTGTTGTGCCTGGAGACCTGGTGGCCCTGTAGACAGAGCCAGGCATCCGCTTCAAGCTCGAGCTTTCTGCCTCCCTCTCTGTCGCATTGTCTTCTTAAAAAGTTAACTATATTGTATTAAATAATTGTATTATTCCATGATACAGTTCTATAAACTCCAGGATTTTCCTTCTCCCTGTAAGGACTTATTCCACTATCACACCCTGGACCCTGAGCCATTTCTTCTTCCTCACAGCTCACGAAATTCGCGCCAGTCCAGCCATCCACCAATCAGATGTAACTTGGCATTCCACCTAAGAATCCCACCCCCAATCTCCCAGCCCCTTCCCCAACCCCGCCTACTCACCAATCATCCCCAGGCATTCACCTGCAGGCACCAATCCCCTGGGGCCTTGACCTCAATCCCTCCGAATCCCCGCCCCACACCTGGCAGACAAAAAAGGCCCCCAGGTGCGGTTCTCTCTTTCTCTCTCTCTCTCTGTCCCTCTTCCTCTTCTTGGTTCCTCTTCCTTGCTCTTCCCCTCTCTCCTCCTTCTGGTCTCCCTTCCCCTTTTCCTGCCCCGCTGGAATAAACTTCCCAAGGTACGTCGTTGCGTCTGGTGTTTTCAGCTCACGGTAAAGAACCAGGTTGCGGGAATTAGCTGCACGTAAAGTATCGTAATATCGTATGAGCTAGAACTAGAACTCGCACCCTTTTTAAATAACTAACACTCCCCTCCCTAATCCCTGCCCCCTGACTAGTTTCCCACATATTACAATAGTATAGCCCTTCACAATCGTAAGTACAGCATTCTGCCATTTTTTAAAAGATTTATTTATTTTTATTGGAGAGGCGGATATACACAGAGGAGGAGAGACAGAGAGGAAGATCTTCAATCCACTGATTCATTCCCCAAGAATCTGCAACAGCTAGAGCTGAGTCAATTCAAAGCCAGGAGCCAGGAGCTCTTCTGAGTCTCCCACGCAGGTGCAGGGTCCCAAGGCTTTGGGCCGTCCTCAACTGCTTTCCCAAGGTGAGGACTTTAACCACTACACTATCGCACCGGGCCCGCATTCTGCTATTTAAGTGTATCCTGACATTGTAGGCATGGACAATGGAAGAGATCATATTTTTTCTAAGATTTGTTTATTTTTATTGGAAAGTCAGGTTTACAGAGAAGAGGAGAACAGAGAAAGAATTTCTATCTTCTGGTTTATTCTCCATGTGGCCCCAGTGACTAGAGCTGACTGATCTGAAGCCAGGAACCAGAAGTCTCCTCTGGGTCTCCCACGCAGGTACAGGGTCCCATGGTTTTGGCCGTTTTGACTGCTTGCCCAGGCCACAGGCAGGAAACTGGATAGGAAGCAGGGTGGCCAGGGCATGAATTGGCACTCATGGGATTCCGGCACATGTGAGGCAAGGGCCTCTAGGCTACCATGCCAGGCCCTCATATTGTCTTTAAACCAACAGTAGACATGTAAGAAGTGGTCACGGACAAAGGGAAACACCTTGAGGTGATCGAAGACTTACGAATTAAGTCCGAACTACTGGGATAGAGTGAGAAGCATGTGCAGCAGGGGTTTGGACTTGTAAGTGCCTGTGGTTGACAGTGAGGCAAAGCCCAGGCTAGCAGCCTGAGGGCTGGCTCTCCATCGCCTTGCAGCTGGGTCCGGCTGGAGCACTCACACAGTGCAGGGAGGATGAGTGAACTGTGTCCACACGACCTGATTTGTGCCCTAGAACATTCCAGGAAACTGAGGGGAAGCAGTGTAGCAGACTGCTGCATGAACCTGCCCAGCAGGGCTGCAGGAAGGGGGAGCGGCAGATGAGTGAATGGCCCCAAATGGACTGACCAAGCAGTCCCATTTACAAAAGCAGAGTGGGGCCAGGGTGGCTGAGGCACCTTGTGGCTCCACTGGGCAGATAGGAGACTTCAGCTCATCCCTCAGGCTCCAAGGGGAAGGCACAATGATGCGTGTGGCCTGGTCAGCAGTATCAGCTTTGTCCCCTGTCAAAGCAAAATACGAGAAAAGGCAGGATGGGGTTTGAGGGGTGGCACCCCGTTAGGCCTCCGTCTGCAGTGCCAGCATGCCACAGTGGTCCCAATTGGAGACCGGCAGCCCCACTTCCCTTCCAGCTCCCTTCTCATGGCCTGGGAAAGCAGCGGAGGATGGCCCAAAGCCTTGGGACCTTGCACTCACGTGGGAGACCTGGAGGAAGCTCCTGGCTCCTGGTTTCTAACTAGCCATTGATTGATGCTATCTTGGAAAGGAACCAATGGATGGCACACCTCCCGCTCTCTTAGGAAAAAAAAAAAAGGCAAGAGTGTAGTGGATGGGTGGCTCCCGCTTGGGCCAGGGCCTGCTGTCCTCCCTGGACGGAGCAAGCGGAGTGCGCGGGTCCGTGCCCGGTGGAAGAGAGCTAAACTCCACTTTGTCCGCCGGCACCTCCGAGGTAAGCAGAACTCGGTCAGGCACAGCGTTCCGCCTTCCCGCCCTGCGCGCCCCTATCGCGGCGGGCCCAGGGGCGGGCCCGGGTGGCGGCGCCGCCCCTTCCCCCCGGCGAGCGGCCGGGCGGCGGGCGCCATGGACCGCTTCTTCGGGCGCGCCGCGCTGCGGCTGCTTCTGCGCCCTCGGAGCGCACCAGTGCGCGCTGGCTCAGGTGAGTGGACACCGTCTCTCTGGCCGGCAGGAGCGCACGGTCCGGCTCTGGGGACCAGGCTGGGACGCACCCCGGCACCTTGTCGCCTCGTCTTTGCGGGGACTTTGAGGCCCCCGGAGCAGAAGGCAGCCCAGGGCTTCCTGGCCACCCTACGCATGAGGGAGTCTGGGGAGGTCGTTCACCCACCCTCTCTGTCCCTCTCTGAGTCCCAAACTTGCCAGCCACAGGGCAGCCCTCAGTTCTCCTGCTGGGCAGCACATAGTAGGTGCCCCTCTTTCTGCCCACTGCCCGCCCTGTGGTGGATGGAATCTGGTCCCTGGAGTCACTTTGGTCCTATCTGCCCTTCTTGTGGGATACCCAGGGTCTCCCTCGGAGCCCTGTAGGAGAGAGCCCCTGGGTGCAGGAGGGGCAGGGGTTCTCCTCTGGAGAGAACGCTGGACAGACCTCAGCCTTACTCCAGTCTGCAAAGGTCCAGTCTGGACTCCTGCAACCGTCCCAGTAGGGGGTTCATGGGTTCACGCCTGGGCAGCTGAGGGGTGCAGCCCTCCTGAGCTGGGGCCTACCTGTGGAAAGCGTGCCAGCTGCTGGTTGTCCCAACTTTGCAGGCTGAGTCCATGTCTGGTGCAGCTGCCCTGGCCTCTGGACGCTGGTCCCGGACCGGGCTGGACCATCCTTTTTAGGGAAGCAGGCCTTCAGACAGACTGGAAGACCCCCCAGGGCCACACTAATCCAGAGCTGATCACCAGAGGTGGTCCTGACTCCCGCTCTCTTCAAGGAGGGCCCACCTGGCCCCAGGAGCGGACACTGGTGGCCGTGAAGCCTGACGGCGTGCAGCGGCGGCTTGTGGGGGATGTAATTCAACGCTTTGAGCGGCGGGGCTTCCGACTGGTGGGAATGAAGATGCTACAGGTCCTGTCCTGGGCTGGGGCACGCCAGAGGGGCTGTCCTGGGCCGGGGGCTGGGGCATGCCAGAGGGACTGTCTGGGCCGGGGGCTGGGCTGGAGCACGTCAGAGGGGCTGTCCTGGGCCGAGGGCTGGGGCACGCCAGAGGGGCTGTCCTGGGCCGGGGGTGCTGGGGCACGCCAGAGGGGCTGTCCTGGACCGGGGGCTGGGGCATCCCTGAGGGGCTAGGCTGGGCATTGGGAAGGCTCTCTGGCCCCGTGAGCTCTCACCCCTTCCCTGCCACCCCCAGGTGCCTGAGAGTGTCCTGGTTGAACACTACCAGGACCTGCAAGGGAAGCCCTTCTACCCGGCCCTCATCCGCTACATGAGCTCCGGCCCTGTGGTGGCCATGGTATGCGGGGCAGCTAAGGGAGGGGGGTCTGTGTGAGCACCCCTCACCAACTATTATCTGTTGGTTGCAGGTCTGGGAGGGCCACAATGTGGTCCGAGCCTCGAGGGCCATGATAGGGGACACGGACTCCAGTGAGGCTGCCCCCGGAACCATCCGGGGTGACTTCAGTACCCACGTCAGCAGGTATGGTGGAGGTCCTACTGCTGAGCTGGCAGCCCGAGTCCAGGTGTCCTGGAGGACGCGGGGTGCTGGGTGGCGTGGAGGCTTACAGCCTAGCCCTGCATGGTGGAGGCCACGGAGTACCTCCTTTGTGTGGTAGTCACCTCTGCCTCCCCAGGTTGTCCCTGGGTGGGATGGCATGCAAGCTCTGGGAGGGAGGTCAAGGCCCGAGCTAGGCCAGGCTTCCCAGCTCCCCGCTGTACGTCCCACCTCTGCCCCCGCAGACTGTCCCTGGGACCCTGAGGGCACACACTGAAGTGAGGACCCCTGTTGCCTGGCACAGGAACGTGGTCCATGCCAGTGACTCTGTGGAGGGGGCCCAGAGAGAGATCCAGCTGTGGTTCCAGAGCAGTGAGTTGCTGAGCTGGGCCGACGTGGACCACCACAGCACCGCCCCTTCCTGAGGGTTGCCGAGCCACCTGGGTCAACTGGGACTCCTGCCCTCACAGCAGCTGACTGCCCCGCCCAGCCACTTCCTGTTCCCCTGCTGCCCAGACAAGTGCTGTGAGCTCCATCTAGGTGCCTTTCTGTACCCCCACCTGCACAAGAGGGGACTCATGGTTCCTACCTGGAGAGCGGCCTCCCTCTGCCGATGGGGACATTAAAGTCCACTGTGGTCAGCTCGGGGTGGTGTGCTCAGTGTGGAGTGACATGCCCTGCACACTGCCCCCTGAGGAAGACAGACAAGAAAGCTCTGTGCCTGGACAGGCCGGCAGAGTGTGTTGTCCGGGTGGTCCCAGGGTGGTGGGAAGGCACAGGTGGGGCCCATCACCTGGGGCTCATGGGGCCTCTGGCTGACGAGGGAGCTGCTAGGTGTCCTGCCCCAGACATGTCCATCCACAGCTCACCTGTGGGTGGCACGTGGCTCCGGAACTGGGGTGTCATCTGCTGCCTGCTAGGATTCCACCAAAGTGGAGGAACTGGGTCTAAACCAGACGCGTGGATGGAGGACTGGGCATCCCAGCTGGGTACACTGAGGGAGGATTGTGCATCCCAGCTGGGCGCATGGACAGGGACTGTGCATCTCAAGCAACCTCCCTCATGTCCCTGGGGCTCCCTGTTGGGCGCTCTTGGCCTGTCTGTGCCAGGGCAAGGCGATGTCCTTGGGGCAGGGTGCATAGTACAGTTGCTGGAATGCAGACGGCTGTCCAGCGAGGCAACATGTCTGACCATGTGCTGGTCTCACATCCGTGCCACCTGCTGATGGGTCCTACAACTTGTGCCACATTGACTAAGCAAAACTGGCTCCCGCACCCGCTCCTTACTCCTCACTACCTGGAGGGTTGGGGGTGTATCTCCATAGACAACCAACCCCAAAGCACACTGCTTCTGCACATTTGCCCCAAGTCACGCTGTGAAACCAATCTTCTAGTTTCCCTCAGTATACCCCAACAGGAAGCAAAGTGGGCGGTGGTAGCCTTCCAATCCTTTAATTTGCTTAGCATCGGGCTCCTTCCTAAAATTGAATGTTTTACATTTGTTCTCCATTTCGTACAATATGAAAGAGCCAGGCAGGGATGTCGCAGCCTCTGGTTTCCTGGCCAGGAGCCCTGTCCTGGCGTCCACCAGCTGGGTTGTGTGTGCTGTACTCCCTTCCTGTCGGGTGGCCGCCCCAGGGCCTGTCGCTGGGCACCGGCCGACAGTGCATGACCGGCCTCAGGACCCCAAGGACACGTCCGGCAGATCAAGGTGACAGGCGGCTGGCCGGCCGCCCGCCCCGCCCCTCCGCAGTGCGCCTGCGCTCTCCGGTCGCTCTTGCAGTGAGCCTGCGCTCTCCGCACCGCCCCTTCAGCAGTGCGCATGCGCTCTCCGCCCTGCACTTGCTCTCGCCGCCTAGATCCGTCCCTCCTCCAGCTCAATGCGCATGCTCATCCAGCCCTCGCCGCTCCGCCCACGCCTCACTGCGCCTGCGTTCTCCCCGCCCACGGCTCTGTCTCCTGCAAGTCCTCCGCTACAGGGCTCCGCGTCGGTCGTCTGCTGCGGGGCTCGGAGCTCGGCGTCAGTCCTCTGCTAGGGGCTCTCTGCTGCGGGGGTCGGCGTCAGTCCTCTCCTGCGGCGCTCGGCGTTATGGCCGCCCCTGTTCCCGATGTGGATGAGGACGAGTGTCTGCCCGAGTACCGTCACCTCTTCTCCCCGGACCTGCTCCGGTGAGTCCTTCGCGGGAAGGGCCCGGGACCGAGGCTGGGACGGCGAGCCCGGCCGGCAGGTGAAGCGTGCAGAGCGCCCCTGGAGTCCCGCCACTGTGCGGAGGAGGTCTTCCTTTAAGCGTCCGGGATTGGGATTGTTGGGTCCAGACGCGTTTCCCCGGAAAGCCCCCCAGTGCAGGCGGTCTCGCTGGCATACCGTGGGCTCCTCTCCGTAGGGCACTAGGTCCGGGGGTCAGACTCCTGGGCACATGCCAGCGGGGCTGAGAGTTCACAGTCAGCTGCCCATCCAGGAGTCAGAGTCCATGTGCACTTGCCCGTCCGGTGGTCAGGATCAACTGCAGTCTGCCCGTCCAGGAGTCAGAGTGCCGTCCAGGGCTGGGAGTCCACAGGCACCTGCTCGTCCCTCTATCAGCACAGAGCTTTTCTAAGACCTGCCTCCTTCTTGTCTCAGGGACCAGGTGGCCTTCATCACTGGCGGCGGCTCTGGGATCGGGTTCCGCATTGCGGAGATTTTCATGCGGTAAGGGGTTGGCAGCCCCTCCTGGCCCTGGGGTCTCCCCGTCTGCACTGGAGGTGATGGGTGGCAGAGCTGGTAGACCGCATCAGGTGGCAGGAGTCCAGGAGATGCATGAAGATCTGGGCAGATTGCGCTCTGGGATTGTGGCTTTGGGATGTCCCAGGCTGGAGATGAGTTCTGGGACCTGGCTGGGGTCTGTGCCTTGTCACTTCAGCTCTCGGAGCCCTGGGGTCAGTCTACCTCTGTTCCCGCAGCCCTCTTCCTGTATAGGAGCTTTTGGGGTACACCTGATCTTGGCAGGCTCGTCTTCCCAGCAGGTGACTTGTGCGTGGCCAGCACACTAGGGGTGATCCAGGACTGGGTGGGGCTGAGGTGACTGGAGTGGTGTTGCAGGTGGAGGTATGTCCCGTCCAGCAGGACAGTCAACAGGGGTTGCAACCAACCTAGGAGAGAATGGGGGACAAGAGACACGAAAAATGGACAGCAAGACAGGATGTCTGATCAAGCTGTCAGTTTACTGATTTTAATTGAGGGTTTTTATATTCTTCAGTAACTCAGGCTTAGGGAGGAAAGGAGAAACTGGGACACAAGTCATGGTTTCAAGACGGATTGTTCTTGAGCAGTCACCATATCAACAATAGTAACCAACATATCAACAGTAGCATAGGTAATCAGTAACAAGGTGTCAGCAGGTACAGCATAAATCACATTCTGAAGCAGTTGCTAGAAACAATGGAAGCTAAGCGTGTGATTAGTTTCATAACTTCTTTCCCAAGCTTCTAGCCAGCCAGGGGTTTTCCACTGGCCCATAGTTCTATATTCAAAATGGCTTCAGTGTAGCTACAGTACACAGCTCCTGACAGAGGTGGGAGGCGGGCAGGGACTGTCTGTTTTCTATCGGGGGTCTCCCATCCCACGGAAGAAATCACCCGACACTGGAGAGAGTCTCAGAGGCACTTTATTCAGATCTTCCGTTAAAAAACGTTGTGTCCGTTAATTCCGTTACGCTGAAGACCCTCCCCCGCCAAGCCCCCAGCTTATCTGTCAAGCCTGCCCAATCAGCTTAAAGATCACCAAGGTACACCAATCAGGGCAAAGTGTCAATCACATGGCAGGAAATTGTCAGTGCCCCCAACAGTTTTCCCCATGCCTGCTGGTGCATTTATGGTGCCAGAATGGCCCAGACCTGGTTCTCTGTGTTGCTCAGGTCTGCTTAGCCCCTAACTTAGCCCTCTGGGGGAGGCTGTGGCCTCTGCTCCTGCCATCCTGTGGCCTGTGTCCGTTTTGCAGGCATGGCTGCCACACGGTCATCGCCAGCAGGAGCCTGCCCAGAGTGTCGATGGTGAGAGAGCCTTGTCTGTGGCCCATCCCCAGGTGTTGGGGGGACCCTGATCCTGGGCTGGGGGACCCCAAGACCCAGGATCCTGCCCAGAGTGTCAGTGGTGAGAAGGCCTTGTCTGTGGGATGTTCCCAGGGGCTGGGGGGACCCTGAGACCCAACAGTTGGGGATACCAGGTGTGCTCATGTCTGAAGGGAGCTCGGTTCCTCTGAGTTACCCAGCTGGCCCAGTGGGCTGGGAAGAAGCTGGCCTCTGGTGCTCCTGCTGGTCTGGGCGGGCCTGGGAGCCAGGGCTTTGCAATGGGGGTCCTGGCCCCAGGGGCAGCTGGACCCAGGGTGCAGGTTTTCAAGAGTCCCCAGGACTGTCATCCACTTCTTCCTGTTCATTTCTAGGCTGCCAAGAAGCTGGCTGCAGCCACCGGCCAGCGATGCCTACCCCTGGCTATGGATGTCCGGGCTCCCCCAGCCATCATGGCTGCCGTGGACCGGGCCCTGCAGGAGTTTGGCAAAATCAACATTCTTGTCAACTGTGAGTCCGTGGAGTCAGGGGCCCCTGGAGGCTAGCAGTCCTGGCTGGGGTACCGGAAGTATGGGGACTGTGGTATGAGAGCTTCCTGGGCTTGCTGCAAACAGGCTCTGCCACAGAGATGCCTTGAGAATGCAGACTGCAGCTGGGGTTGCCTGGGTGTCATAGGGCATTGGTCAGTCTGTGTCCCCTGCTGGCTGCCCAGGCTCCACCTGCTGGTCTGCCTTGCAGGTGCGGCGGGGAACTTCCTGTGCCCTGCCAGCGTGCTGTCCTTCAATGCGTTCAGGACTGTAATGGACATCGACACTATGGGCACCTTCAACGTGTCTCGCGTGCTCTACGAGAAGTTCTTCCGGGTGCGTGTTCCCCTGGCTGGGCCCGCCTTCCTACCCTGCCCCCCCGTCTCATCACCTAACGCCTCATGCTTTTCAGGACCATGGGGGGGTGATCGTCAACATCACAGCCACCCTAGGTTTCCGGGGGCAGGCGCTGCAGGTGCATGCTGGCTCTGCGAAGGCGGCCGTGGGTACGGACGCACCTCGGGGCTACCCACCTGAGCCTCTCTGGAGGTCCAGCCGTGGCTGTGAGGCACCTGGCCCACTGTCCTCCACGATGCCCCCATAGTTACCTCTTTTTGCGCAGATGCCATGACCCGGCACCTGGCTGTGGAGTGGGGTCCCCAGCACATCCGTGTCAATAGCCTGGCCCCAGGCCCCATCCGTGGCACAGAGGGGATGCGGCGACTGAGTAAGCTCTGGGGCCCCAGGGCAGTGTGTCCTACCTGGCGGGGTGTCCCATGGGGGCCAGTTCAGGGAAGTGGCCGGCTGAGGTGCTGACATCCAGGGCACCCTAGGCCTGAGGCTGCTGCCACTTCCCAGGTGGCCCCATGGCCAGCAGGAGCCCACATGTCCTCAGCAGCCCGATGAGGAGGCTGGGCAACAAGACGGAGATTGCTCACAGCACACTCTTCCTGGCCAGCCCACTGTCGTCCTACGTGACTGGGGCCCTGCTGGTGGTGGATGGCGGTGCGTGGCTGACGTTCCCCAACCAGGTCACAGACCGCGTGAACTCTGCCTCTGCTGCTAAGCTGTAGGTAAGGCACCCACCCCTACTCCCCCTGTGCTTTGCAGTTGCTGTGGAAGTCATATGGGCGCTGGTTCTAATCCTGGCAGCTCCACTTCCCATCCAGCTCCCTGCTTGTGGCCTGGGAAAGCAGTCGAGGATGGCCCAAAGCCTTGGGACCCTACACCTGCGTGGGTGATCTGGAGGAAGATCTGAGCTCCTGGCTTCGGATCGGTGCAGCACTGGACGTTGTGGTCACTTGGGGAGTGAATCATCAGACAGAATATCTTCCTCTCTGTCTCTCCTCCTCTCTGTATATCTGACTTTGTAATAAGAATAAATAAATCTTTAAAAAAAAAAAACTCCTTTTGCTGTTTGTGTACACCCCAGGCCTGCTGGGCCAGGGAGTGGCCAGTCAGCTGGAGCATGGCCTGCAAAGGGCCTCAGCTGGGTCTTCAAGCACATGAGCGGGAAGCTAGGTAGACAGCAGAGAGCCTGGAGACTCAAGGACAGTGGGGAGACAGGGCCAGGCGCAGCAAGAGATACTGTCCAGAACAAGTCAGTCAACTACCTCAGCCATACGTTGGCAGTGAAAAACTGAGCAAACAGAGACTCTAAGGTGGACTGTATCAATCAGTGGACTCTTCAACGACCTCATCGTGCTTGGAGTGGTGAAATTGGCAGCAATTCATAACCGTTGAACTATTAAAACCAATTGAGCAAGACCCTCGGAGTATGCCCCACATCAGCGACCTGGGATGGCTGGGAGGTTAGGTGGGGCTTCTCCCTTTATCTCCCCTTCTACCCCAGATACATGAAGGAAACAATGTGGAAATAATAGTCTTACCCACTTTCCTGTAACCCTTAAACCTTTTTGCCCTAATTAACTATATAAAGAATGTTGAAAATAAAGAAAAAAAAAAAAGACGTCCGAAACAGAAACCACTTCTACCCTCCACGCTGCACGCGTCTTCACAGTGAGGGGGCTGGGCCCACACCTGGCCTGGTCGTGCGGGAGGACAGGAGCGTGGGGCATGGTGTGTATGAGGGGGCTGCAATATGGGAAGCAGGTGCTGGCAGCTTCAGAGTGAAATGCTAAAATAAGAAAGATCCTCGGGCTGAGTCAGGAGGAACAAAATGGTGCCTCACAGATGCATGTTCTGTTTTTACTCTGAGAAGAGAGTGCATTTTCCAAAATTTGAAGGTGAGGAAAAAACCCTTCGCACTGAATAAAATACCAGTAAACACAAGCAGGACCATGTGCTCCCACAGCTCCTGAAACACTTCTGGGTAAGTGGACGTGTTGGACACAAAGTGTTAATGCAGTTTCCGAGTGTTTGGCATGGGCTGGCATTCTGGTATAGGGGGTAAAGCCACCGCCTCCTGTGACACTGGTATCTCATATGGGCACTGGTTTGAGTCGCAGCTGCTCCACTTTCCATCCAGCTCCCTGCTGATGGAACTGGGAAAGCCGAGAATGGCCCAGTGCTTGGATCCCTGTACCCGTGTGGGAGACCTGGAAGAAGCTCCTGGCTTTAGTCTAACCCAACAGATCTTTTCTCTTGAGTTTTAAATGCATAAATATCTAGGGGAAAAGGTGCAGTTTTTCTCTGGCGAGCAGCTCAGCCTGAGTTTAATGAATACACTGGCTTGCTGCTCACCACTTCAACCCAAACAGCCCCCAGGGGCTGGCTCACAGGTGGCAGGAAGAAGACTGGGGTGAGCAGAGGCTGGAGCTTAAATATAATCCACCCTCCAGGCAGGTCATGGTGACCTGCACATTGCCCACAGGGCTCAGGAGTCACACCCACTAGGTGAGTTTCCACTTCATAGCCACCACCAAGAGGACTTCTCTAGGACGGTTTCCATTTTTTTTTTAAAGATTTATTTTATTTTATTTTGGAAAGATGGATATACAGAGAGGAGAGACAGAGGAAGATCTTCTGTCCGATGATTCACTCCCCAAGTGAGCACAACGGGCCGATACTATGCCGATCCGAAGCCAGGAGCCTCTTCTGGGTCTCCCACGTAGGTGCAGGGTCCCAAAGCTTTGGGCTGTTCTCCACTGCTTTCCCGGGCCACAGGCAGGGAGCTGGATGGGAAGTGGAGCTGCCGGGATTAGAACCGGCACCCATATGGGATCCCGGGCGTGCAAGGCGAGGACCTTAACCACTGCGCCACCGTGCCGGGCCCAGGACGGTTTCCATTTTGAGGAGACAACTGATGTAACCAGAGTGTCAGGCTCCAGCTGTCTGTGGATGTCCCCTAGGGCCGGCACCTCGGCCCGCCCTGTTCCCGACTCCCTGTCACTTCTCAACCCTGCAGCCCGAGGGACACTGAGGCACACTTGCACTGAGAGCCTGTTTGCATCTCCAGAATTTCCTACAGTCAGAACATGTATGCTGTATGCTTTTCTGGCTTCCTGGAAAGCACTCAGAGCTGGGCAGACAGGGAGGAAGCACCCGCCATGTCTCATGTCCCAAATGCCAGGAAAAATGGGCTGGGTTGGGTGGCAGCCAGGTCTCCCACACGCTGGCAGGTCTCAGTCCCTGAGATGATACCTATTTCCTCAAGGGTGCCCTGGAGCAGGGAGCTGAAACTGGGGAACGCCAGCTGTGCACCCCTGGAGTCTTCACCATTGCTTGCACAGGGCCCTCCACTTCCCTGAGCACTGGGCTGCCTCCTTAGGGCTGTGGGGAGTGCTGGCATTGGGCTGCTGTGGGGGGTTCTGGCACTGGGCTGCTGTGGGGAGTGTGCCTCAGGAGGCCCACTGTGGCAGGAGGAGCCTGACTGCTCAGGGTGCTTCTGGATATGGCCTGCTCCTGTGAGAGGAAGGGACAGCAGACCTAGAAGTGGCTTCCCCATTTCCAGGCAGCCTGGGCAGTGCTGAGCGCTCTGTGGGGTGAGGAGATGGTAGCATGGGCTCAATCACAGTGCCAGTCAGACATCAATGCCCCTGGGGAAAGGCAAGGCCACATCAACTCCCACTCAGTTTGTGTTTCTGTACAATGTGCATTTCAGGGGCCACTCTGTTGGCTCAGCTGGCTCCTCCTCCACTTCCAGGTACTGGCATCCCATATGGGTGCCAATTCGTGTCCCAGCTGCTCCACTTCCCATCCAGCTCCCTGCTTGTGGCCTGGGAAAGCAGTTGAGGATGGCCCAGAACCTTGGGATCTTGCACCGTGTGGGAGATCCCAGAGAGGCTACTGGGTTCTGGCTTTGGATTGGCTCAGCTCCAGGTTTTGCAGCTGCTTGGGGAATGAATCAATGGATGGAAGATCTTTCTGTCTCTCCTCCTCTCTGTATATCTTAAAACAAACAAACAAACAAACATTTTGGGCCCAGCATGATAGCATAGTGGTCAAAGTCCTTGCCTCGCACGCCTGGGATCTCATATGGGCACTGGTTCTAATCCCAGCAGCCCTGCTTCCCATCCAGCTCCCTGCCTGTGGCCTGGGAAAGCAGTCAAGGACAGCCGAAAGCATTGAGACCCTGCACCAGCATGGGAGACCTGGACGACACTCCTGGCTCCTGGCTTTGGATTGGCTCAGCTCCAGCCACTTGGGGAGTGAATAATTGGACGGAAGATCTTCTCTGTCTCTGTATATCTGCCTTTCCAATAAAAATGAATAAATCTTTAAAAAGTACATTTCACATAACAAACTTGTGATCAAACCAGCTTGTCTACCACACCCCTCTGCCCCCAGGAGAGGCACACTTGGGGTGTCTGAATATCTATACTCTCTGGGAATTGCTGACTCAGTAGCCAGGCTTCAGCTGGGGCCAGCCACCTTGACCTGCTCCCCTGACCCCCACTGTGGGCCATGTACTGTCTGTATTCCCTCCCTGGTCATGGGGACTAGCCCCCACAGCCCCCTGATCCCCACAACCTCCGACCTTTCACAGCCCCCACAGCCCCCAGAGCCCGCCAAGCACCCCATAGTTCCCGGACCTTCCACAGCCCCCACAGCTCCCCGACCTTCCACAGCCCCCACAGCCCGCCAAGCACCCCATAGTTCCCCGACCTTCCACAGCCCCCACAACCCGCCAAGCAACCCACAGCTCCCCCGACCTTCCAACAGCCCCTCGACCTTCCACAGCCCCCACAGCCCGCCAAGCACCCCACAGCTCCCCGACCTTCCACAGCCCCCCGACCTTCCACAGCCCCCACAGCCCGCCAAGCACCCCACAGCCCCCCGACCTTCCACAGCCCCCACAGCCAGCCAAGCACCCCACAGCTCCCCGACCTTCCACAGCTCCCCGACCTTCCACAGCCCCCACAATCCGCCAAGCACCCCACAGCTCCCCGACCTTCCACAGCCCCCACAATCCGCCAAGCAACCCACAGCTCCCCGACCTTCCACAGCCCCCCCGACCTTCCAACAGCCCCCCGACCTTCCACAGCCCCCCGACCTTCCACAGCCCCCGCAACCCCGACCTTCCAACAGCCCCCACAGCCCGCCAAACACCCCACAGCCCCCCGACCTTCCACAGCCCCCCGACCTTCCACAGCCCCCGAACCCCGCGCTCGCCTTCAGAGACGGCCGGGGGCCTGGCCGGCAGGCCCCGGCGTGCTGACGTCAGCCGGCGGGGGCGGGCCCGGGCGGCGTCCCCGCGCTCGCTCCGTCAGGCGCCCTGCGCGTCCTGCCCGGCTCGGCGTCCTCCCCGCCGCCGCCCCCGCTGCCAGGGGCCCGGGCCGAGGGCGGCCGAGGCGGCGGCGCGGAGATGGGCGAGCGCGGAGCCGGGCCCGAGTGCCGCCGCGGGGATGCCCGCGCCCGCCGCCGCGCCCTGAGCGCCTTTGTCTTCCGCCCGCCGCACCACTAGCCGCGCGGGCCCGCGCCGTGGCCGGGGGCGCGCCCCGCAACATGGAGCCGGGCCGGCCCGCCCCGGAGCCCCCGGCCGCTCCGGAGGGCGAGGAGCCGGGGCTGGAGGACGCGCACGGCGCCGCCGGGGCCGCCCCGGAGCCCGAGCTGCCTTCCTCCTGGGCCTGCGGCGTGCCGGGCGCGGCCGGCCTCTTCCCCGACGAGCTGGGCCCGGGGCCCCCGGAGCCCGTGGGGTGCCCGGAGGACGGCCCCCGTCTGCGAGCCGTGTTTGACGCGCTGGACGGGGACGGGGACGGCTTCGTCCGCATGGAGGACTTCGTGCAGTTCGCCACCGCCTACGGGGCCGAGCAGGTGAGCAGGACGGCACGGGCTGCCCGGCTTTCTGGGTGGGTTTCCCTGAGCATCCCAGGCGGGTCCTGCTCCGGCGTGGAGTCCTCCGGGCTCGGCCCGCTGCGCCTTCTTCCCGACAGAGCCCGCCGCGGTTGGGGTCTGTGCTGCGGGGGCGGGCTGCCCAGGGCAGGTGCTGTCCCAGGCTGCTGCTCCAGGTCTCCCCAGGAGGTCAGGGAACTGTGTCCGCTGTTGACTTGGCAATGGACCTTCTCAGGTGTGGATCTGCAGCTTCCACTGAGGTTCCTTTTATTTTACTTAAAGCCAGAGTTAGGGAAAGATCTGTGCATATGATTCACTCCCCAAGTGGGCCAACAGGCAGAGCTGAGCTGATCTGGAGCCAGGAGCCAGGAGCTTGTTCTCCCACATGGGTCCAGGGTCCCAAGGCTTTGGGTCGTCCTCCCCTGCTTTCCCAGGCCACAAGCAGGCAGCTGGACCGGAAATGGAACAACCAGGACCTGAGCCCACTCAGTGGGATGTAGGCACCATGGGCGGAGGATGGGCTTGCTGCAACACTGCACCAACCCCTCGTGTTGTGTTCTGTCACAGACTTGAACAGGTGTTGAGGTGTGTGTGCTTGTTGATACCATGAGGTGGACTCGCTGCTGTGCTTGTGGCTGGCATAGGACCAGGATGTCCGGCGCCCTAGGTCCCAGGTTGGAAGTGGGACTAGTCCGTGTGTGGGATGCTGGTGCTGCAGGTGGTAGTGGCACGTGTTAGTCACAGCACTGGCCCCCTTCTCACTTGAGGGAATGGGGGGCGGTTCACTTGAGTTGGCTCCTGCTGAGTGCCCTCAGAGTGCCTGTGGAGGAGCAGGTGGACTTGAGCTCAGTGGGACGTGGCCTGGCCTCCTGTGGTGGTGGAGTGGAACTCTTGGTTGCTTATGCTGCTTTACTGTGTCAGAGCAGATAATTTCCTGGCACTGAAAGGGTGAATGTTGGGTCTGCGTAAGCTTTGGTGGTCATTATTTTATGATTCAGACTTGCTTTTTTCCATGCTCGTGTCAGAGTATGTAGTAGAGCAAGGAAAAGATGTGTTCTAACAGTTTAGGACAAATTAAACGTTCTATCTCAAAATGAATATCTTCCTGAGGAGACAGGCTGGCAGGTGTGCCCTGGAGGCCGTTGCGGGGTGCCTCTCTGAACTCTTGCTCCCTCCAGGCTTCTCCTCAAGTTGTTTCCTGGTGTAGCAGGGGGTGTCTGTAAGAATCGGCACTTTGTGAAGAAGTAGCCTGGTGCTCAGCCCCCTGGGGCCTCTCAGCTGGGATGGACGCCGTGTGAGCCCCATGACAGTCACGCTGGCTGGTGCTAGCAGCTGTGTCGTCAGAAGGAAGATGTGATGAAGGCGGTGTTCTGGTGATGAAGCTGGGCTGTCTGAATTGTTAATAGGAACAGCTCCCTTCACCCCACACTAGCATCTGTTCCTTGCTTTCGGCCAGTGTCCTGGTGTGTCCATCGGCTGACAGGTGAGTTGAGGTGTTGTGTAACACAGTGTCATGCCAGGAGGAATTGCTGGTGAGGGGAGGGAGACTGCGGCGAAGGCTTTTGGTTGTATCTTTTTGACATAGCATGAGGAGTGAAGCTGCGCCGGGCCGTCTCTGCGGTCATGGCTAACGTGACCCCTCATACCAGTGGGCCTGCTGCTTGGGGAGGCACTATAGTCCTGAAGCCAAGACTGTCATTTGTTTCACCTTTAAAAAACTTTTTTTTTTTTTTTTTAAGATTTGTTTACTTTTCTTGGAAAGGCAGGTATACAGAGAGAAGAAGAAACAGAGAGAAATATCCTCTGTTCACTGGTATACTCCCCAAGTGGCTGCAGTGGCTGGAACTGAGCCGATCCGTAGCTGGGAGCCAGGAGTCTCTTTGAGGTCTCCCATGTGGGTGCAGGAGCCCAAGGATTGAGTCATCCTGTACTGATTTCCCTGACTGTAAGCCGGGAGCTGGAATGAACTGGTGTTTATATGGGATGCTAGCACAACTGGTGGAAACAAGATTTTTTTTATCATCTGGTTCAGGGTGAATCTTTTTGCCAATAATCTTGAATGGGCTGTGTCACTCGCACTGCACCTTGAGGGGCTGGGATCTGTCCCATGTCTGGGAGGGCTGAGTCAGATCACCTGGCCAAGGTGAGGGCTGTCATTTATCTACTGTAAGTAGATACAATATTTTAGACCATCTTGCTTTTTTTGAAAGGCACTTGCTTTTTTTGAAAGGCAAAGTGACAGAGATAGAGATCTTCCATATGCTGGTTCACTCCCCAAATACCTAAAAGGTTGGGTCAGGGCAAAGCCTAGAGCCTGAAACCCTTTTTGAGGCTCCCTGAATCTGGATTGTAACCCACTGCTTGTCCAGCAGGCGGGCCAAGAGGTGGGGTAGCAGCATGGGGGTCACCCTGGGTAGCTGAGAGGTGGGGTAGCAGCATGGGGGTCACCCTGGGTAGCTGAGAGGTGGGGCAGCAGCGTGGGGGTCACCCTGGGTAGCTGAGAGGTGAGGCAGCAGCGTGGGGGTCACCCTGGGTAGCTGAGAGGTGGGGCAGCAGCGTGGGGGTCACCCTGGGTAGCTGAGAGGTGGGGCAGCAGCGTGGGGGTCACTCTGCATGGCCTGGCCCTCATGCAGCATGCGGCTGTCCTAAAGGTGCTGCAGCCCCCAGCGCCACCACATTTGCTTTGCTCTGTATGAGTGTTCTGTGCCTCCTCCCATATTCACACACTGTTTTGAAGACACCATTGATGGCAAGTGGCAGTGGTCACACCAGTGATGATGTGATGGGTTCTCGTCTGCATTTTGTGGCCAGTGGTTACACCATTGATTACAGGATGGATTCTCCTCTGTATTCTGCTGCCTCAGCTGCTTTTACCCATGAGGAACCCGGAATGAATTCAGACTATAGAATTTTAACTTAAGGCATGTCTTTTCATTGATATGTATGTTTTGTTTTTTTTTTTAAAGATTTATTTTTATTATTTTTTCATTGGAAAGGCGGATATACAGAGAGGAGAGACAGAGAGGAAGATCTTCCGTCCGATGATTCACTCCCCAAGTGAGCACAACGGGCCGATACTATGCCGATCCGAAGCCAGGAGCCTCTTCCGGGTCTCCCACGCGGGTGCAGGTTCCCAAAGCTTTGGGCTGTCCTCGACTGCTTTCCCAGGCCACAGGCAGGGAGCTGGAAGGGAAGCGGGGCTGCCGGGATTAGAACCGGCGCCCATATGGGATCCCGGGCGTGCAAGGCGAGGACCTTTAACCACTTGCGCCACCGCGCCGGGCCCAGATATGTATGTTTTTTTAAATTTTTTTTTAAAGATTTCTTTTTATTATTTTTTTTTGTTGGAAAGGCGGATATACAGAGAGGAGAGACAGAGAGGAAGATCATCCATCCTATGGTTCACTTCCCACGCAGCTGCAATGGCCAGTGCTATGCCGATCCAAAGCCAGGATCCAGGAACTTCCTCCAGGTCTTCCACGCGGGTGCAGGGTCCCAAAGCTTTGGGCTGTCCTTGACTGCTTTCCCAGGCCACAAGCAGGGAGCTGGATGGGAAGTGGGGTTGCTGGGATTAGAACCAGCGCCCATATGGGATACCGGTGTGTTCAAGGCGAGGACTTTAGCTACTAGGCCACGATGCCGGGCCCCAGCCCTGCTTTTTGAGAATGTATCTTCGGCCCCAGAAAAAGTTCCTGTTATGTCCCTGAAACCGAGTGAGTGGCCATCTCTGCTGCCCACCTCACTTGCCCTTCTGTTTGCTGAATGGGGTGCTGCAGCTCCTGGCTTCTGGTCTGCCATCTCTGGAAGCAGTGCTGCTTGCATTTTGTGATGTAAGGCCTGTTTTCCATCCAGAACACGCTCGCTCTATTCAAGGAAGCCATGCAGTTGGGGAGGCCTGGGACTGCTTGTGCCAGCAGTATGTGACGAGATCCTGGATCCTGTGCTTTCTCAAGATGCTTCCATGATGCTCCCTAGGTCCTGCAAGGAGAGTCAGTGTGGTTGGTGGTTGTGGAACTGGAAAATTAAAAATAATAAAAATAAATCTTTAAAAAAAAAAAAAGAAAAAAGAAAAAAAGGGCCCGGCGCGGTGGCGCAAGTGGTTAAGGTCCTCGCCTTGCACGCCCGGAATCCCATATGGGCACTGGTTCTAATCCCGGCAGCCCCGCTTCCCTTCCAGCTCCCTGCCTGTGGCCCGGGAAGGCAGTCGAGGACGGCCCAAAGCTTTGGGACCCTGCACCCACGTGGGAGACCCGGAAGAGGCTCCTGGCTTCGGATCGGCATAGTATCGGCCGTTGCACTCACTTGGGGAGTGAATCATCGGACGGAAGATCTTCCTCTCTGTCTCTCCTCTCTGTATATCCGCCTTTCCAATAAAAAATAATAATAATAAATCTTTAAAAAAAAAAAAAAGGAACTGGAAAATTAACCTACCTAGTTTCCCCAGGGAGATGCTTTTCTTCTGAAGCCAAGTTGTGAAGCAGAGGTGGGCGAAGTGGGCCTTGCATGGAAGCTGTTGTGAAGAGGGGATGTGGGAGAGGTGAGGGGATGAGGGGAAAGGGGGCTGTGGGGAGGGAGATGAGGGACAGGGCAGTGTGTGGCTCTCAGTAACCAGAGGCAGGATGAGCCCTCCCCTCCCTGTGTGTGCCTCAGAAGGCCCTCTCCTCTGCCTTGCTTATCTGCATTTGCTCTGCAGGCTGCCCAGGTGGTCCCTGCACTTGAAGCTCTGCTCACCTGGCCCTGCACTGTGGAGGTGTTCCTGTGTCAGGGGGCGAACCACTGGTGTGGAGCCACCAGTTCAGAGCCAGTTTATTCTCCCCACTGAGTGTGCCTATCCTGTGTCTGGGTGACCAGCAGAGGGCAGCAGTTGGCCTGGCCTGTGAGAGGGACACTGTCAAGCCTGTCACAGCTCCCGCGGGTGTGAGAGAAAGATGGGCTTCTGTGTCCCATTCCCTCCTGTGAGTGTCTGCTGCTGTGAGAGCTGT